TATGTAAAAATGTTTAAGAAAAATCCAGGAATGGACTTCAAGGTTTTTTTTTTCAGTGCTATGGATGGAACCCAAGGCCTTGTACATAGTAGGAAAGTGCTCTATCACTGAGCTACACCTTCAGCCCTATACTTCACTTTTTGTTAAAAACAAAACAAACAAAAAAACCACCTTTTCCTAAAGTGTTATAAACAAAGAGACCTCCCCTAAAATGTTGAAGAAAGTATTTACAAGACAAAAAAATAGTAAAATCCTTCATGTGTTCTGTTTGTAGAAAGCTCTTAAAAATCAGAAAGAGCTGAATTCTCAGGTCAGCCCAGCTAAGGTGGCATGTGAAATGAGCCCGACATTTTACCCTACCTTCTACGAGCTCAAAATGCACCACAAGTCAGAGCATCATACAAACAACCAAGTACCTGTACTTCAGTCTGTTCTGTAAACTGGGCTCCCCATCAATCAAATGTACAAACAGACTCTTTGTAATATAGCACTGTGATAACGAAGGAAGCATGATTGCAGCAGAACCTTGTAAAACACTATGATTTCAACACTCAAGAGCTGTGAGCAAAGGAGAAACGGGTAAACAGAGGATAGAGACTGAAAAGTGCCATGCATCTGGAAGTCACAGTCAAATCTGAATAGGACAGAAAGAAAGATGGAAAATACAACTAAAATGGGCAGGCTGGAGGCAGATCATGATATAGAAGCACACAGGGATGTTTCTAGAAATAAATTTTGCAGAGGGCAACTATAAGAAATGAGTTGACTAGTAATGATGCAGAGAAAGACCAAAGTGGCAGTAAACAAGGCAAGATGCAGTCAGGAGGCTACTGCAAAAATCCACATGAGAAGGGAGGGCCAGCCTGCATAGAGACAGCAGCCGTGGGAAGACCTTGCAAGTTTTGGTAACTGCCTGGTATTTGGTAACTGATTGGCTAAAGGATTTCATATTTATTTGATAAACTCCTGATTAGAATGAATATAATAATAATGATAGATCTATTGTCATTTAGTTGTTTCTGTCTCAGAAATTGCAAAATATTTCTACTAGGTGGTGGCTAAAAGACAATCTTCACATTAATGAATTGGATTTTATTAATTTTTTTTCTGGTACCAGGGATCAAACTCAGGACCTTGCGCTTATGAGGCAGGCTGAACTAAATTCCCAGCCCAATGAATTGGATTTTAACAAACATCTTCAAAAGTCTTGGACTTTTATTAATTTGTAATATTTTTCTTTTGTGGTATTTGGGATTGACTTCGGGACTTCTCACTGAGCTACATCCCCAGCTTTTGAATGTACTTTTTATTTTGAAACAGGCTTTTACTAAGTTGGAAACTTTGCCCAGGCTGGAATTGAACTCATGATCCTCCTACCTTAGCCTCCATGAGTGCTAAGATCACAGGTGTGTGTCATCACATCCACCTTTATTCGTAAAGTTTAAAAAAATTTCAGTATTACTACAAAACACAATATTAGCCTCTAAGCTCCAAGAAGTTACAATGAAAAGGAATTCTAATGTGTAGAAATATTATTTCTACAAACACTGAGACAAAACTCAGAGTAATGTTCCAATAAATATGTGCTTATCATGGACACCATACTCTACACAGCACCTGGTCACCTGACAACCCTGAAAAATTCTCCTTCCCCACTATTTGCCAATGAGTTTTGACAGTACTGAACAAAAAAAATGACCACAAAAATTTAAGTCAGAAGAACTCAATTCTGTACATAGTGAAAGATACATGAATTAAAGCAAAAAGCTAAGCTACATTCATATAAGACCCAACAATACAATGGCTTAAAGAACAAAAAGCTTTTTTCTTTTCATGTTCTAAGAATGAAAGGTATCAGGTGGTGGTACAGCTGTTTCATGAAGCATGAGAGCCCCAGGATCCTTCTAGTGTGTTCCATAATTCTCTAGGTCAGTGTTATCATTTGTAGGGCAGGACAGGAGTCATTTCAGGTTTCATCTTCAAGCTTATCCTGGAAATGGCACACACCATTTGAGTTTACACCCTGCTGACAAGAATCTGGCCATTTGGGCACACCTGACTGAGCCATGTAGGGAAACTGTACCTCAGAAGAGAAGACTGGATTCCTGTGTTATAAACAAGCGATCTCCACCAAAAGTCTTCAGAACAACATAAAATGCCTGTGGTAACCATAAAAGTCAGGATAACAGTTACCTTAGAGCAGAGAGGGTTTGGGGAAATTGTGAGATGCTGGCAGTACTGGCTGTAGTTAATTGAATCTCATATAAATTTATTAAGGTGTATTTTAAGTTTCTGCAATTCTAATATTGTTTTCATGGCAAAGTTTTACAATAAAGCTTTATGCTTATTTCAAGAAGACAGAACAGTCCAGTCTTCACCAGATGTGTTTGGAGACAACAGTCAATCAAACAGATCATAAAATTAGATTTCAAAGTGTCACATTCCACAGGTTTAATGCTGCATGGTTTTACTTAAGTAAAAGCAAATATTCGTACTTTATTTCCATAATTTCTGAGGTTCAATTTTGATATTTATGTGGTAGGAAATGGGCTTATAGAAATGAATTTATAACATTTTTCTTATAAGAAATATGACATATGGGCCGGGGATTTAGCTCAGTGGTTCCGGCGCCTGCCTCACAAGTGCAAGGTCCCGAGTTCGATCTCCAGTACCAAAAAAAGAAAGAAATATGACATAACATCTCAGAGTGTGATAAGAACCTAGAAATTAAGTCTTTCAGTCCATCATCACTCACCAATAACCCATCAGCCATCTAACTTTAATTCAGATTCTTCCAGGAAAAAATTAAAGAGGCATGTGAAGTAGAAAGACTTTAAAATAGCCCTACAATCCCTGCCTCCTGGGGTTCTTGCCCTTGTGTAAACCCATTCACTGAGTGTGGGTGGGATTTACTGACTGGTTTCTAACCAAGAACAGTAAATTTGAAAGGATATGTGTGGCCATGTAAAAGACTAATATCCATCTGGCTAGGGAGACTCTCCTGCTGGCTTTGAAAAGGCAAACTGCCTGTGATAAGGACCACATGAAAAGCACCCGACGGTGGTTTCCAGCTAACAGCCAGGAAGAAATGGAGGCCTTCAGTGTGAGAACATACAAGGAGCTGAATTCTGCCAATACTCATGTGGGCATGGAAAACAATGCTTCCTCACTCAAACCTCAGATGAGACCTATCCCTAGCTGACACTTAGCCTGCAGTCTTGCGGAACACCCACTGAGGCATGCCCAGGCTCCTGACCCACAAAAACCATGCTACAATAAATGTGTTATTTGAAGCTAGTAACTTAGCAATACATAATATAGAATCCTTATGAAAATTCCACTATTTTTCTGAATCTAAGAACACATGGCCGAAAAGTAATACTTTGTTTTTTTCCATTATCATCTCAATAACAAAAGCCAGAACTTCAACAGGGTACTTCAGGGCATGACAAGAATTCATATGAGATGAGCTGACTACCATAAATTTTTTAATATTTCTACCAGAAGCCTTTCACTATTCCTATCAGTTACTGAAGGAAAGTACATTACTGCCTATGCCAAGTGCACAGTACGCTACTATTTTTAAATTTTTACAGAAAAAATACATAAGAAATGTCTGGATGTGGACTACTAGTCCTGGTTGTAACTGGTTGTGTTTTACAGGAGATAAAGAGGACTAGAAGAATATATAGTGTTTAGCTGGGAGTGGTGGAGTACATCTTTAATCCTAGCACTCTGGGAAGTTGAGGCAGAAGGATCAGAAGCTCAACCCCAGCCTGGGGAACTCAGTGAAATTTGTCTCAAAATTTAAAAAAATTAAAAAGGCTGGAGATGAAGTTCAGTATGAAGGCCCAGGGTTCAAGTCTCAGTAATGACTTTTCCTTTTTTTTTGGTACCGGGGATCAAACTCAGGTTCTTGTGCTTGCGAGGCAGGTGGCAGAACCACTAAGCTAAATGCCCGGCAAGTCTCAGTAATGGAAATAAATAAACAAGCAAACAAAATGTTTAAATAATTATCTTTTTATTATCTCTTATTTCTCATAAAACACTATAAATTGCTAGATATATAGTTCAGAAATTCTTACTGGCTTACTTGTGATTTCTACTGTGCCAAGACATACAAGCAACAGATGCTTGAGTGTGCAGATTGAGATGTTAAGTGCTACTATACTTAATGAAGAAACTGTGTTTATGACAGCTTCTGTGCTAATATTTGACAATGCTCTCAATTATTTCATCTCAATCTAATTACTTAGTATCTTTCTCATAACTTACTCTGTAGGAAAAGAATAAACCACAAATGACTGGTCCAGGCTTGCAAATTTATTTTTAAAAAGAAAAAACAACCTCCTTTGTGAGTAACAAAACAATCGCATACGTTATTGTTTATACTATTATAACACATATCATGAACACACATAGAGCAAATGGTCTTTGCCATCTAGAGTTTATGCATTTTTTTGACACTACAATACACATACTGCCAAAACCCTTCTCTTATGCACCACTCACAATAGCAAATACTATGTACAGGTTCAATGAACCAAGAGCTGAACAGGAAACATTATGAGAGCCCATCTATTTTTTTTTTGGTACCAGGGACCAAACTCGGGTCCTTGCCCTTGTGCAGCAGGTGGCAAAACCACTGAGCTAAATCCCTGGCCTGAGCCCTTCTCTTTTAAAGATACTTAAATACTGTATTTAATCCAGATTTTAAGGAAATTTTTGACAAAAATTCCTGGAACAAGGAAGACGGTGCTTATTTTTAAAGCAATAAGGGTTAAGAGGTCATGAAATTTAGTGAGCATAAGCTCACCACTGAATGAGAATAAAGAAGGCAGGAACTAGGTTTCTTTCCTTTGTAGGCATGGAACTTCTGTATAAAATATAGAGTTCTATGGGATACTTTTGTTACATTTATATCACTTTCAATTATTAGTCTTAAGAATTATTAACATTCAAGATAATAAAAGACAGAAAGATTCATAAAAATTACTTACTCTTTGTACTCTCTCCCCAGTTCTTAGAATCCACTAAATCACCTGAATGCATAGCAGACATGATCTTCTGAGCAACACTGGACAGCGGTGTCTCACAGAGTTCAAAGCCTACACAAGCCTCATAATTTTCCATTTTCATAAAGTCCTAAATATAAGATTAACATAAGATACTTACATTGAGGCTTCAAAATAAGAAACTCAATTAAGTTACATATTTGAAAAATTTATGTGCTGACTTTCACTTAAAAAAACCGTTATTAAAAAATCATTATAAATAACCACAGGTAATAGGTTTCTATCATCCCATAATCCAAACAGGATAGTCAGAAGAAAAATATAGCTAGACACTCAATTAGGGATCACAGTAAACAGATGAATAACATTTTCTAGTTAACCAATTATGAAGCAAGCAATCCAATTAATTTCTGTTTTGAAAAATGGTTATTAATCCTCAAGTAAATAGACCTGATAACATATCAACTACATCTGACTTGGGTCATGGCAGACATGACCTGGCAACCCTCACTGGTCAACCATACTGGTCCGTGGGCTGAGCAGCGAAGGTCTAAGTGGGGACTATATAGATTAAGCCCTGTTCACATGTCTAAATTATGACACTAATTTCAATAGAATTTGCTACCATAGGCCAGGAAACAAGGTGACATGTTTTTTCTATATTATTTGAGAAAAAATAAATTCTCTATCCCAAGACAGAATAGGACAAAATTAAGTAAGAGTCACTCAAGTGAGAAACTGACAACTAAATGTTAGATAAAATTTACTAAAAACTTTTAAGTATATTAAAGTCACTTAATAAAAATAAATTTTTAAATAACCAATACAGTAAATGGCAAAACATTTTTGTTCAATGGATTACAAAAATTAACAGTGCTTACTGTTACCTAAGCATGCCCATTTTCTGATAATCATCGCTAAAAACATCCATAAAGTCTACCTGAAATATGGTTTGTTTTTTCGGTACTGGGGATCAAACTCAGGACCTTGTGCTTGCAAGGCAGGCGGCAGCACCACTGAGCTAAATCCCCTGAAATATGTAATTTTTAGATTGGCATTCCATAAAACAAGCAGGTAAGAAATTTTCTTGAAGATATTACCTATAAAATTATATGGTATCTAATAGAACCCATGTACAAACTGAGCCCTAAAGGAGCATTTGGCATAAATGATAAGCTACTTCAAATTACTTTATACTAACTCTTAATTTTATTTATTTTTTTTTGGTACCAGGGACCAAACTCGGAACCTTGTGCTTGTGAGGCAGGCGCCAGAACCACTGAGCTAAATCCCTGCTACTCACTCTTAATTTCTAATTGTCTACATACTAGGTAAGCCAGGCATGGTGGTGCACGCCTATAGTCCCAGCACTCAGGAGACTGAGGCAAGAGGACAGCTGCAAGTTCAAGGCCAGCCTGGGCTCCATAGTGAGTTTAAGGCCAGCCTGAACTACACAGCAAGACCTTGTCTCAAAAAAAACCAAACAAAAAAACCCCAACCAAATAAAAAATAAATAAATAGTAGGTAATACTCTATAAGTATTTTCATTCTTTTTGGTACTGGGATCGAACTCAGGACCTTGTGCTTGTGAGGCAGGCAAGTATTTTCATTAAGACATTAAAAATGTACATAAATCCTTTGACCAACTTTTAGAAATTTTGAAACTTAAATATCAAGTTTCATGTGAAGGCTGTTTGTAAGTCACACACAAATCAAACCCCTTCCAAGATCTGTCTTGCAGAAACCTATATTTCTAAAACCCAATCCCTAAAATGAAAAAGATTGATGGAGTCCTGACACTCTATGGTACAAGTAGGAACATCCAGTCTCAAGTACACAGCAGGGAATTATGGGAAAAGACAGTTTGAGTGGCAGAATTTCACTTCAGTCAAAAACAAGAGGACTTGGCTATTCCACAGATACAGTAGCACCCCTTCTGGGAGAGGACATTCCAAACCCCATGAAAGCCAGGAGCTGCTGACAGTATGGAACTCTATAATCTCATAACTGACAGGACTACCAAGTGCCTAATCCACACATAGCAAAAAAGAACAGGTATGATTCATGTCATGGATGAGAAGGTTTGAGACTCCATCACATTGCACAGAATGTCTTAAAACTTAAGGTTTCTGGACTGTTCCATTTAATACCTTCTAATCACAGATGACATCAGGTAAGCAAATCTTCACAAACCAAAACAAGGATAAGGGGTTACTATTGTATTAAGGTCTATAGATTTAAGAATGCTAACCCAAAGTTCTACAAATTTTAAAAGTAACAGCAGAACACTTTTAAAAAACAGTAAAGGAGAAACATAACTATTAGAAATATTGCATTACATAATAATGGTTTTTCTCTACAAGCAGAAATGTACTTGGTTGACTAAGCGTCACCAAGCAAATAATCGAGTCATAAAAAGCACTGGTACTCTGAACCAATGTTGTGTGAGGAAAAAACTGTACTGATATAGGTGAATATTCCTTATCTGAAATGCTTGGAATCAAAAGTGCTTTTGGATTTCAGGTTTGGAATAGTTACATAATACATAATCACCTCTCTGGGGGATGGGACCCAAGTTTAAACACAAAATTCATTTATGTTTAATACAATCTTATACACACAACCTGAAGATAATTTACATAATATCTTTAGCACACCTGCATTGTGACTATGACCCATCATGAGGTCAGGTGTGGAATTTTCCATTTATGTCATGCCAACACTTAAAAAGTTTCAGATTGTGGAGCATTTTGGATTTTCAGATTAGGAATATTCAACCTCTGTAATACAGTATTTGAATCTATTAAATGAAATGTTCCATTGACCTCAAATTTTAAAACATAGTACTGTTTATTAAGAAACATTTTGCTAATACATAAAACATTAAAATATAGCATGTTTAATAAAGATTTGATTTTTGTTTTTTTTCAGTCTTTAAGACCATCAGCCTTAATTTTTGATTGATTTTCTAGGTTTTCCACAATATCTTTCAGATCGTTCCCATTCTTAAAAAAATGTACATATAATTCTCTTTCCATCTGATGTAACTTATTAGTGGTCAAAATTTTTCTTTTTGTCTTCACATCAGCAAGAGTATCAGCAAGGAGATGATTTAGCTTATTCAGCTGGGATTCAACTTGATGAAACTGCTCTGTTAAATCCTAAAAGAGGAAAATAAAAATGCTTTTAATCAAGAACTTTATTCCTAACACCAATTATAAATTTAAAATATAATTTTCAAGGAAAGACTAAACAATTTAATAACTCCCACAATTTTAGCAATCAATTGCAATTAAAAACCTGTAACAGGCTTAGAGATTACTTGTAAAATTAACAACAATTTCTGACATGTACATTAAGTAATTCACAGCAAATTCTTACTTTCTGAAGAGTACTGGTATGTAAACTGTTCTATGTATTCATGTACTCAATAAATATTACTAAATGGGGCCGGGGATTTAGCTCAGTGGTTTTGCTGCCTGCTGCTCAAGTGCAAGGACCCGAGTTTGATCTCCGGTGCCAAAAAACAAAACAAAACAAAAATATTACTAAATGCTTACCATGTACCAACTATGTATTTGACAGACTACAAGTAGAAGGAACAACATTTTTCTCATGGGGTTTATATTCCACTTAACTAATCAAACTTTGTGTTAGCCTAATCTGTTTATTCTAAATACAGGTAGAGAAAAAAATCTTGAAATTAAGACCAGGGCCAGGGATTTAGCTCAGTGGCACTGCACCTGCTTCAAAAGTGCAAGGTCCTGAGTTTGATCCCTGGTACCAAAAAAAAAAAAAGACCAATAAAAACAAAACTCGGGCCGGGGATTTAGCTCAGTGGTTCCGGTGCCTCCTCTCAAGTATAAGGTCCCGAGTTCGATGCCCAGTACTGCCCCCCAAAAAAGCAAATTAACTCAATAAAAAAAAAAAAAAATCTCCATTTTACTCTTTTCCCAGAATGTCTTACAGGAAGAATTACAAGTAACATTCAACAAAAACCATTCTCATATAAACCATTCTCATGACAAGCTGGACTCTTTCCATTTAGTAAATTCAGTTTCCTCACTTTCTAGCACTTAAGGTACTTATTAATATAACAAGCTTCCAGGGCTTTCTAATCATTCTTTTTTTATAAATTTTAGCCAGCATCATCAGAGGATCTCAGAAAATCTGTAGCTCTAACTAACTCAACATTCCACTGCTTCTCAGTGTGGCCCACATACAAGTACCTGGAGTGCTTTTTTGAATACACAAATTCCTGTAACTCCAGACTAATCTCTGCAACAGGGCCAGGAATCTACATTTGGACAAGTTCCCTGCTGAATGCTTAAAATCCGTCATAAACGCCAGTTCAACAAAACTATACTTCTTAAATTACATTTTTAAAGCATCTAATTTTGACATTATCTACATTTAGTGTTCTCCTTTTGAGAAAAACTTCATAAACTTGAATATGCTGAAAAAAAATCTCTTTAATTTCAAATACTAAATATCTTACAGTTGCTAAAATACTCCTATAGATTATTAAAAGTTCCACTGCATTAATAATGAAACTGCAACTAAAAGAATTGATACATTTTATATGGTAACGAGGTAGGGAAAAATATTAATATAACTAATGATAAGATTATAGAAATTACCATATGATAAATTCTAAGATGCATTTTTTCACATCTTAACATCTGAAATCAAGATGCATCTTATTATAATTGAGAGAATCATGGGTTTTTTTTGTTTTTTTTGTTTTGGTACCAGGAATCAAATTCAGGTCCTCACACTTGCAAGGCAGGCGGCAGAACCACTGAGCTAAATCCCCAGCCCTCATGATTGTTTTTGACAGGCACTCTTTAAGAAAACCTTTCTCATCAACATTCTTGAGATACAGTATGGAAAAATACAATCAACTATGAATTAAAAAGTAACTGAAATGAATTCTAAACTGAATGTGAAGTTTTATAAACATTTTCATGGGCTTATCTTTTCCTTTTAAAGTATATTCAAAAGTTAGGTATGATATGGGCCAGGGATTTAGCTCAGTGGTTCTGCTGCCTGCCTTGCAAGCGCAAGGTCCTGAGTTCGATCCCTAGTACCAAAAAAAAAAAAAAAAGGTATGATAAAAATCTATGTCCACCTATACCTAAAAAAGATCCTGTGTAATAAGTAAAGCATAAAAAATAAAAATTATCAGTAAGCATCATGTCAGTTTAACTGGAAGTTTTCCCTTAGCGATTCAAAAAATGATGATGTACCATATGATCATGGTGTCTAGTACACAGTTGGTGAGATATAAATAGGTGCCATTCCGGCCTGGGAATTTAGCTCAGTGGTGCTGCACCTGCCTTGAAAGTGCAAGGTCCAGAGTACGAACTCCTCGTACCGGAAAAAATAAATAAGTAAATAAATAGGTGCCATTCTTTAAAAAAGGAATTTGGCGGTATGAAGGTGTGTGTATGTGTGTGTGTGTATGTGCATCGATGATCTTACCTCAAAGAATTAATCCAAATCAAAGTATTCAACAACAAAAAACCTAATAAACCCAAAGATATACATGGTGTTGATGAAGATCAAACAAAAGAAAAAGATGAAGACTATCAAAATATCCAAAATGGTAGACTGGGTATAGAAATTACAGCATACTAATTAAAGCAATACAGTACTATAAAAAATTAAGAAAACTAGAGAGTAAAAATTTATATTTCATAATGCTAACTAGAAAGGAATAAAATAAATGAAAATAAAACTATATGTCTTACAATTACTAAGCAAAAGAAAGATGGCACAGAAATATTAGTATCAGGCCAAGAATAAGACAAAAGGCATAACAGGGATAAAGATGTCATATGTAATACTAAAATGCTTTGATTCACTACATTTAAATCCACCAATATAATTATTCACCAAAATGTTAAACCTGGATATAACTTATAAAAGACTCAAAACACATAAAGAAGAAATTTATTCAACTATATAGAAAAAAATATCAAATCCACCATAATAGTGGATTTTCACACAGTCCTCTCATTAACAGATCAACTAGATAAAATCTTTAAAAACTAGTCAGAAATACCACTTTACACCCCTTTAAGAGTTGCTACTGTTAACAAACACAACAGAAATTAAGTGCTGTAGATGATGGCGAGAAACTTACACATTACTGGTGGAAGTGGATAATGGTATAGTTGCTGCAGAAAACAAGCAATTTCTCAAAAAGTTAAACACAGAATTACCAAAATCCAGTAATAACACTCCTAAATATATACCCAAAAGAAGCAAAAGCAGAAACTCAAACAGATGCTTGTACACCAATTTTACAGCAGCATTTTCCACAACAGTAAAAAGGTAGAAACAAAGCCAGAAGTGGTGGTCCATGCCTGTAATCCCAGCACTTGGGAGGCTGAGGCAGGAGGATCGCCTTGAGTCCGAGGCCAGCCTGGGCTACAGAGTGAGTTCAGGGCCAGCCTGAACTACAAAGGGAGACCCTGACTCAAAAATAAAAAGGTGGAAACAAGACACAAACAAAAAGGCAAATTTTTTATTTAATGAAATATCTAGAAACTCACAGAGACATAAAGTAGAATGGTGGTTGCCAGAGGCTGGGCAAAGGCAGAAATGGAAACCTAATGATTAATGTGTACAGTTTTCAAGGATGATGAAAAAGTTCTGGAAATAAATACCAGTCACAGTTGCATAACAAATGAGAATGCACCTAATGCCACTGAATTACACATAAAATGTTTAAAATTACAAATTTTATTTTGTATGCTTTACCACAATTTAAGGAAACAGTAGCAAAAACCTTAATCATGGCCTTTCTGTTTCAATGGAGGGCCAGCTAAGTTTTCAAATCAATCTTCTCACTTGAAACAACTTAAAAAGCTCAAGACTGGGAAACAGTTCAATAGTAGAGTGCTTGCCTAGCATGCATGTGGCCCTGGGTTCAGTGCCCAGCACTGCAATGAATGAATGAACAAACGAATGAATGAAGGGTTTTTTAAAAATCAAAACAAAAGCTTCCTAAAACAACAAAGAATCCAGAGCATACAGAAGGGGAAATCAAACAGAAGATCTTTTCTATAATAAGCTGAGAACCCAAAGGACAACAGCCAAAAGATCAGATTGGCCCAGAACCTGGCTTCAAATTACAGCCCGGTAAGTATCTTAGTAAGAATCACTAAGATCCTTCAATGACTCAGGCTTTGCAGTATTTTTGGCTCAGAACTATCCAGTGCCCACAGTATGAAACAGTGATGAAGGCAAAGCCATTTTAAGATTTTTTTCACAATGATAAGGGATTTCACTCACTGGAGACACTAAAAAATTAAGGTTCATTAATAATAAAAATGCAACTCAAAGACTGATTGACATTATACCTTAAATTGGTATGCCCCAATAAAGGGTGCTAAGACAATCTGGATACATATAGGAGAAAAAATAAATAAAAATAAAATTAGAGGGCCGGGGATTTAGCTCAATGGTTCCGCCGCCTGCCTCCCAAGCGCAAGGACCCGAGTTCGATCCCCAGTACCAAATAAATAAATAAATAAATAAAATAAAATAAAATAAAATTAGAGGGGCCATGGATTTAGCGCAGTGGCACCGCACCTGCCCTGAAAGTGCAAGGTCCTGAGTTCAATCCCCAATACCAAAAACAAACAAAAATAAATAAAATAAAATTAGAATTCTATCTTATATCATATATAAAAATAAACTGCTGGATTAAAGAACTAAAAGCGAACAGCATACCCTTAAGAATAAAGCAAATGAGACTATAACAATGCTAATGGTCAACCTTTAGCAAGACACAGAAAAACACTGGTGGTACATGCATGTTTGTTAAAAAAAAAAAAGGTAGAAGAGCTGAGGATTTAGCTCAGTGGTTTCCCCACCTGCCTCACAAGCTCAAGGTCCCGAGTTCAATCCCCAGAACCAAAAAAACAAAAAAAAAGAAAAATTAAACAGCAAAAAATATGGAAAGATAGCCACAAATATATTTCACACATATAATTAACAAAGGATTAGCTCTGAAATGTACAAAGAACTCACACACACACAAAAAAATGGGCAGGCCAGGGATTTAGCTCAGTGTTTCCAACGCCTGCCTCATAAGCACAAGGTCCTGAGTTCGATCTCCAGTAACAAAAAAAAAAAAAATGGGCAAAGGAAATGAACAAACAATTCTCAGAATAAGATGAATGGCCAGTAAACAAGTAAAAGACAGGATTAACTTCCCTAGTAATAGGGATAATACAATATGGTACAACTGCTTTGGAAAACAATACTCCTAGAGATAAAATTTTTTTAGGGCAATAAGGTGGGATAATTATCTTCTTCATGTAATTTAATATCTTTTACAATGAACATTATTTTTTAAAGCATTTTAACTATGGCAAATACCCACCTGATCACTAAGCAAAAGCTGATTTCTTCCTTGATACAAAGCATCACAAAGAACATCCACATCATTATTCAGTTTAGACAAAAATAAAAAATGTTGTTGAGCAGATACTGTCAACTGATCCTGTACTAAAGAAACATCCTGTTTCAATTTCTCAGCCATTTCCTCCAGGTTTCCATGAGTCATAAACAACTCTTTTCTCTTATTCTCTCCCTCTAAAAGTTGATAAAGCCTAAAATATAAAAATAAAAATTATAGGGAAAAATTTGTCAAGTTCATACAGTTTTCAAAATTATAACTCACTACAGTGGAACATTTGTGGGGATAGCTAAATAACAACCAAAAAAATTAATTTGTGTGTTTCTAAAATCAAGCAACTGAACATTTCAACAATAAGACTATTTCGGTACAGAAATGTTCTACTGCATCTGAATTCCTGATTCTCAAGTTTTAGACATAAAATCTTTCCTGGCTTTAACTCCCATTAAGTTACTTTTAATAGTGTGCTTTAGTGATACTTCCCAAAAAAACACTTCTTTCACAGAACACATCTACGAAACAATAACAACAGCAATAAGCTTAAAACAAAAGGCCTAGGACTGAGCTCTCTATTATGTGAGAGGGCAGCGAAGTCAATCTGAGACTGAATTTTTGTATCTTAATATCTACCTATTTTACAGGATCATGGAAAAAGACAAGAAAAAAAAACTAAAGATGTAAATAATATAAAAAAGTAATAAAGAACAATATAAATGGCTACAATAAACTTTACTTATTCCAATCTCTTTTACCAAATACTATAGTATTTGGTTGTCGTAAATTAAAACATTCCTGAATTATGTTACCCCTTCAAACATTAACAGCAGAAAAAATCATCAGCCTATAGGGTAAATGAAAAAATCTGAGGTAATGCCTTCTACACATATCTGAAACTATCTGCTTTTCTTATATTAAAATATGTGCATGCATATACATTTTTAAACAAGTTAAAAAAGACTTTATAAAACTGGTTCAAGTCCAAGGCTGCCAATTAAGGTCTATGGGATATAACTACACAATTCCAAGTGATACCATTCACATGGATCATGATCATGATGGCACTCCCTGAAACTGTACAATGAAGCAGCCCTATCTAAGTTCCTCATTTTATTACTAAGAAAACAAGATTAAATGATGTACTCATCCTCAATAATCCACCTGACCAGACATATAAATGAAGTCTCCTCTCTACTACCTTTTCCAAGTGCAGTCAATCGCCTATCCACCAATACTATACAAAGCGGTAATCAAACTTCCTGCCCCAAATCTAAAATAATGTATCTAAACAATGGTGCCTAAAGGGGGGTAAAATTTTGTATCCATTCATTCCTCTAACCCATCCACCTTAGCTCTAAAGTAGCTATGTTCAGATCTCACAAGATTGAAAAGAGAGCAAAAATTAAGAAGAAAAAAGGGGCGTATAAGAGAAAAGCAGAAAAGAATTAAAAGGATAAAACTGGAGTACAGTGTTTTAAACTTCCAGATTTTATTCAAACTCTCCTAGTACGTCACAAAACAAAAGCACAAAATTACTAAGGAAGCAACAAAGCATAAATACCTTTGAGAAGAATAGTCCTTGGAATCAATGGTATTCCTTGGATTTATCTGCTGAGACACTGATGGGTCTTTTAACATTGCTAATTGCTGGAAGAGCATCATGTTATTTTGACTAAGTTCTTGAACCAATTTTTCAAATTGACGATATGTGTCGCAATGCTTCCTCAATTCAATTTCATATGATAACTGTACAAGCTCAAACGATGCCTTTTGCTTTATTAACTGATTTAAAACTAACTCTTGTCTTTCTGTGTAATGATCTTGTTTAGCAATCTGCAGGTCAAAATCTCCCTTTACAACTGGCATGTTCAATAACTGTGCATTCTCTTTTACCACAGCAAGCAAACTTTTGTCTTTTATATGAGTGATTTGTTCTTCAAGTTTCAGAATCTCACTGTTCAAGTCAGAAATTTTTGCATCCAAATTCTCTTTACCAATAGCCTATACAAAGAAAAACAATTACACTTCAAAATGTAAACTTAAACTTAGTTTTTAAATTATTTTCACTTTCTTTTTTAGGTGACCAACTAATATGCTCAATGGATAAAAACTAATTCCATATAAACATAAGCCAAAATTACAATTTAAAAAGTAAAATGTATGAAACAAGAGTAAGGTCAGTAAGAAACACTAAATTCTAATGCTACTACATACATGGTTACCAAAATAAGAGATTCTGTCATGCTTAATTTAATCAAAAATATTAACAGCACATTATTCACTGAATGCAAATAAATCCTACTTAAGTTTCTCTTCAACATTAACATTATCTCAGTAGGTATTCTGCTAGTCATTTTCTTTTATTTTAGCTTACAAATACAGGACTTTATTGTTCCAAAGTTTGTGACAGATGTAGTAAGTGAACTGATGTTGGTATTCAGGTTCAGAAAAGTTACTTTTTTACTCAACTATCTAGTGGTTTACATTCCCTAGAAAACCAACTTCCCACATCTACAATACATCTATACATGCTCAACAAAGGAGCAGGGAACCTGGACCTTTGACTTCATTAGCAACATAGTCTGGTCCTAGCAAACAAGGCAAAATATTGATAATAAAGCAACTTGTCTTTTTATCATACTTTTCAAAAAGAAAATTCCTGTTCAGTCTCTATCTGAATTAACATAAATTTCAAATGCAGAATGCAAATTAAAGCATTTCTGTTTAAAACAGATAATGTAAATTATCTACGTATCTAGAAATAGATAACAGAATTATTACCATTTCTGCTTTCCATTAATATGAGGACCTATTTATACGAAACACTGATACATATGTCACAAATAAGCACTGAATAAAGAGAAAATTTTTAAAATTATAATTCCTTATTCAATCTTCCTTTCTAAAGTACTTTAATAGCAATATTCAATCATACATTCCTAACAATAATTACAATATGAATCCAGTCTTGTTTCTTATATTTACCTTGCTGGTTAGGCTATGAAGATTCTCCTCTGCCCATTTTATACTTGACTTCATGCTCAGATTACTTGCTTTCAAGTGAATTAACTGATGTTGAGCACAGATGTATGCTAGCTGCAGTCTAGCCATCTCTAGCCGTCTCTCCTCAAGGATTTCTTGATTATCACATAAAGATGATGTTCGTATATCTAAAAGTTGAAAATTTTCTTCATTTGAGCTTTCAACTATTTCATGTATCCCCTGAAAGAACTGCTTCTTGGTATACAAGGTTAATGCTGCTGTACTTTGCTCTTCTTGGCTTAGATACTTTTCCAGGGAAAGCTGAGATAAAAACACCATGGGATTCGCCTCTTGACTTAAATCAGAATGTCTAAAGAACATCATCAATTTAGTAACTCTGTCAGTAAGAGCCTGAAGTTCATTACTGAGCTTGGTATTCATAGCAGTCAGAATTCCTTGACTCTGCTTCAGGTTTTTAGTGGCTTCTTCATGCTCAGCACTTAACCTCAGAGATTTGTGGCTAGATGATGAAGTCATCAGTTGGCATTTATTACGTCGCTGAATTTTTAGGTTCTTTAATTTCTGCAGCATTTGAACCTCATCCTCTAATTTCTCCAGCTCTTTATCATCCAGTCTAGGTGTCTTCAAATCAGAAGTTGCACAGGTTTTAAGAACTTCATCCAATGCCACCCCTTCTAGGATGGGCTTGCCTGATTTCTGAAGAATGCTAAAAGCTTCCAGCTCTTTTTCTGACAATACATTCTGTTCACTCACATTCCCACAAAACCATTTCAAAAATGATTCATTTTCAACAGTCTCAAACAGCCAGTCAAAATCTTCTCCATTAAGAGTATCAGCTTTGGGATAATCAATTTTTTTTAATGTTTCCACAAACTCATTTCCACAACTCATGTTTTAACTACCCTAGTTTTTTTCTTTTTTTTAAATCTGATATGGGTTTATGGTGCTGATTTTTTACCAAATAAATCCAGACAGAAACAAAACTTTTACATAACTTTTTCCCGCAGAGAATGGGAAAATATTTTTAGAATCTATAATGGGTCCTCCTAGAGGGGAAGAAAACAAGTATTAGACCATAAATAAGTGTGTTTTTAAAAGGAAGATACAGATAAATATCACATGATATTTGAGAGCCAGTGGACTAAAATGTAGTTGTAGCTGCAATGATTGATGAGGATAAAGGGAAACATAATTAAGAGTATTTATCAGAAAACTGAAACAGAAATGAAAACCTAGTAACAAAAGGATTTTATTTTTCCTAAAGATAAAATAGTTTCAAATACACTACGTTCGTATTTGACTCAAAGTAAATGAATCCAAATCCAAGCCACCAAGTAGCTAAGCAGCCTCTTTTGCCTGCCACTCTTGGATTAAGAAAAGAGAAACAAATACAATGGCTTAATGAGAAGGATCAATATTTACCCGATGTCCCAATGAACATCCGCCAAACTTACAGGAATCGATCCCGACGCAGCGAGGAGGAAGCCAGGCCTGGGGAACGAGAACCGAGCCGTCAGCGGGCAGAGCGCTCAGGCCGCGTCATTTCCCGGAGATGCGCGCTGACAGCCCGACGCAGGGCTGGGGCCGACACCCTAGCGGCTGAGATCTCTCTGTTGTCTGTTTGTTTGGATTGCGCGCGCGCGCGTGTGTGTGTGCGCGCGCGCAGTCCGTTATGGTACCTGTGCGTGTTGATAAAATACACATTCACCAAAAGAAAAAACAAAAAACCCAAGCCCAAAATGGCGCAAACTGACAAACCTCAGGCGAAGGAGAGGCTGCCAGATTCCCGGCCGACCCTCGGCCCCTCGGCCCCTCGGAGACCGGGTTCCGGCTCGCGGCCGCACCCCGCCACGGCAGGCCAGGTTCTTGGCACCCTGGGCCGCGGCTCGCACTCCTCAAAGAGGAAGCGGGCCGCACGCCAGACAGGCCGGACGGCGGGCACCAAGGCGACGCCTCTCACCTCAGGATGCTCCCGCCCGATACCTCGCAGATGCCGCCAAAGCGCCGCGCGCCTCGCACCGCCTCACGGGAGCGCCGGCAAGTACGCACGCGCAGAGGGCGGGGGCGACGAAATCGGTAGTCGCGCAGGCGTGGTGTCCAGGTACCCGGGTTGCACCGGGCTGGATCCAAGCAACTGCCGCCCCGTCCACGGCTTGGCGTTCCCTGAAGGAGCGATCTGATTGGCTCCTCCACCGAAGATTCCCCGCCTTCGCTCCGCCCCTCCCGGGCCGGCGCCCGGCGTCTGGCGCTCTGAGGACCCTGAGCTCCTGAGCCTCGGCACCCGCCTCCGCCTCTCTTCGACCAGGATCCCTATCCTCTCGCGACACTTCTGAGGAACGAAAGACAGACCAGGCAGTCCTGCGGACCCAGCCTGCTCTGCTGTGGCGCGTGACCCGGCACGGTGCCAGTGATCGGGCCCCGCGCCAGCCCGAGCACCGCCTGGCACGTCTGCGGGGTCAGCGAGCTTCGCCGGAGACTCAGGACTGACGCTGCTTTGCATAGCACTTAACCCCCAAGCCCTCACCTGACCGCCGAGCAATAGCTGGCTCCTCCCCGCACTTTTCCAAAACGTTAAAGTGTAACCCACTGGAGCAAGGAGTGCTGTGTGTCAAGGATGCATTTAACTCAGGACGGAGGAGGGCAGAAATGACATAGGCAGTGAAAGAAAGTGCTGAAAAAAGACTAAAGTCTGATGCAGATCTGGTCGATGCCCACAGTCCCGTGAAGCCAGAGCCCTGGGTTTATCGTTTTTATTGGACAGAATGTATTTCTATGGGACAGAATCCGTTTGCATCTCTGCCAGACAAAAATCACTTGCAACTCACCAGTCTTCTGTAAGTTAAATCTAAATTTGCAAGCGGTAGGCTTTGTTCATTAGTTAGTGGAGTTCACTTCCCCTGGTGATAAATGGCCCGAGGTGGCTCGACAGATAATGCTCCGGTCCAGTTTGACTAGGGAGAAGTCTTTCTCCTGTGTTTTTCTTAATGTTTTTAAGGAAACAAAAAATAAGTGTTCCTGGACAGATACTGTGAATTGCGTTCAAGTCAGAGATACTTCCTAGTAATTTTTGTTTTACTTTTTTACCCTCTTTTAAAAGTCAGCAAAGCCTAAACATGATCTGAAAAACAAACATTCCGGGGCGGGGGTTAATGGAATCCGGGGGACTGAACCAGGAGGACCCTAGTGGCTGTGGCTGGAGGCTGGGGGCAGCAGGGAGCCAGCGCTGAGTGGTTTTGGCCGGAGGAAGTGGAGGCTGTAAAGGCAGCGCCTTGAAGAAATTTTGCTGAGGAGGCAAAAACTGGGGGGTGGGGGGAGGCAAGTGACACAAATGAGGAGGCGGGAATGCAGGACCAGGACCGAAGGGAAGATTTTTGGCTTGTTTTGTTTGGTTTTGTTTTAAAATGGGAGGAACTTGGGGATATTTATAGACTGTGAGGAGGAACTCGGAGGAGATGGGATTAAAGATGCCAGAAAGACAAGGGGCGACTTCATAGAAAAAGATCCTAGAGCTGGAGGGTGAGATCCAGCCGGCCCTCTGGAAACCTGCTTTTCTTAATGATTCTTGGTTGATTTCCTTGGCCCACAAATTCTGATTTTGAGTTGCTGTCCATAGTTACTTGTTCGAAAGGGGTTTTTGAGACCATAAAAAAGCCATAAAAACACAAAGTAAAAATTACAACGGTATCTGCCCTCCTGGCACAAATAATAAACACAATAGGATCCACTCTACAGACCTGGAAAGTGTTCTTGAGGTTGTATGTGGAATTTAAGAAGGCAAACATGTTATACTTCTTCCAAGACAAGCTTGCTTTCTTCCAATCAAAATCATTTGGGGTTTTAGTGGTGTCACGAGATAAAGGGAGCTGGGATTAATCCTCATTAAGCAAGCCAGGGGTGTATCATGGACTAGCCAGACAGGGCTATGAGGATGTTTTTGCTATCTGCACAATGCAAACCTTTTTTCCTATCAATATTAAATAGTATCTGAGGTTTTGAACAGTGTCTTTTCAGACTACTTTTAAACTTTGCAAGTAACGGTGTGACATTAAGGATTGTTTTCAGTTGACAAGGGTGGAGGACTGTATTCTCCAAGCGATGGGGAGGAGGGGTGTTTTGAAGCAGGAAACTGACCTTTTCAGGCATGTGTTAGAAGTTTGACTCTGCTGTAACAAAATTGACAAAAATGTAAGAGACACCTGGCACCAGGGCACACAGGAAACGGAATGGCAGAGGGAGCTGCATGGCCAGAACTCTGTTGCTTTGGTCTGGGAAACCTGACAGTCACATTCTTCTTCTTCCTCAGAAACCAGACTTGCTTAGACCACTGGGTTGGAGGAGGATGGGGGAAGATTGAGTTTGTTTTCCATCATGTTGATATTCATGTGACAAAGGTTCAAAAATCAGTCCCCAAACTCAGGAGCAGGTTTGGGTCGGTACTACCAGGAGGATCACGGTGGTGGCAGGTGGTGGCAGCCTTTGGAGCTGGGAGGAGCAGGGCCAAGGGGCCTGAAGGAACAAGGGGCTGGGGCTTGGGACACTTTCATGAAGGACCTGAGCAGGGAAGGCAGTGGGAAGAGGGGTGAGGGGCACGACCATTGTCTACGCTCTTGGATCTCAGCGGCTGGGTGCACACCCAGCTCATGTGTCCCTCCTGCCCGGCTAGGGATTGGAAATGAGGAAGGAGCTATGTGAAAAGGCCCTGCCAGTGAGTAGCCCAGATTAGACCAGCACCTGATTTGTGTGGCAATAATCTTAGCCAAAATGAGAGAGCAGGGCCAAGCCAGGGGATCCAGAGAGCTGGGCTGGACTGAGTGGACAGGAGTGCAGGCATCTGGGTCCAATCCTGAGAGTGACAGAGACCCAGAGCACTGTAGTGAGGGGAGCAAGACTGGCTCAGGGCACACTGGCTGCCAAGAAGACAGTGGGTAGGGTTGTGGTGGTGGTGAAGATTCTAAAACATAGTTGGGAATTCAAACCTCCACAGGCACATCATCATCAGATCCCCCAGCTCTTGAGACCCTGCTGTGTCCTAACAAGGGTTCCCTTCTGTGCTAGGAGTGGCCCAGGGGTCTTGTGAGGTCCAAGAACCCAGAATTACTGCTGCCTGTGAGGGCAGAGTTCTCCTAGCACCTCTCCCATGCCCACCCCAAAAGCTGCCAGTGGGTTCCCTGGGACCATCTGCAGGGGGCTCTGCCGTGGTCCAGGGTGATGACCCCACACTCTCAGCAAGTCCCCAACTAGCCACCCAGCTCCACAGCTCTGCAGCCGTCAAAGCTGCACGTTATTCCTGCGTCTCTGTGGGCTGGGCCGTCAGGGGTCAGGGCTCTCTGCTCCCAGGGAGAGAGGGCCAGCATCTCCCTGGGGGCAGCAGGCAGTCAGGGGCACTCTGGCCTGTCCTCCCCTGCACATGATCACACAAACACTCCCATGAGGGTAGGACAGGAGCCAGGGTCCCCATGCTCTCCACCAGCACCAGAGGACAGGGCACTTGGGGTGGCAAAAGCCAGCCCCCAAGGGGAAGGGAACAAAGCCGAGCAATGGAAAGAACAGAAGGCCACAGAGTGAGGTATAAAAATCTGTATTTATATTACAATGACAGAATGACACAGCATAGCCCCACCCGGAGGAGGCGGTGGGGGCCGTTCACTCTCAGCTCCAGTCTCTACCGTGCCCACCACCCAGCACCGGGCTCCCTGTGCGGCCCCAGACTCTAGCATGGAACCTGCCCTGATGCCCTGGATGGAGACCCAGGCAGCCTGCTGGCTTGGTCAGGATCCTCTGGGCAGGCAGTGGGGGCCCAGTCAGCTGACCCCCTACAGAGCCAGGGATGGTAGGGGCAGATAGGAGCATGAGCCTCGGGCTGGTTTGGCATGGGGCTCCCTCTGTCTGGGAATGTGGCCACAAGCACCTTGCCATCTCCTAGGCCAGCTGGGTGGTAGGGCCTGTCGCCGAGGAGCTGCCCCTGTAAGGTGGGAACCCCAGCCCAAGCCCTGAGTACCACGTGGCCGGAGAGGAGCAGGGCACAGATGGAGCAGTGGCCTCCCTGTGCAGAAGACGGTGCAGGGGAGAGAGGTGTGGATGTGGAGCTTAGCACCAGCCCCCACCTGTGGACACCCCACCACCCCTGCTAGTGGGGGAGGTGGAGAGCACCCCTGGGTGGCTGAAGGGGCCAACTCCCCAGTCTACATGGGAGCCATGGCCTGAAAAGGCACAGGCAGAGCTGCCAGGAGGGTGGCCAAGGTGCTGCTCTGCTCCCCCACCTGGGGCTGGAGTCTGCGAGGCAGAGTTGAGGAGTGGGGACAGAGAAGGGAGCTGAGGGTTTGAGAACTCCAGCCTCTCAGGGGCCCGGGAGTTCCAGGCCCTACGACATGGGTTCCTGGCACATGGCAGACAGAGCCCCTTCCTGGGTGCTGATCCCCAAGCAGGGGGTGAGATGCAGAAGCGACCCTCACCACGGGCCTGCTCTCCTCCTGCTGTCCCCACCCTCCAGCCTCTATAGGGCAGGTTCCATGCCAGAGCTATTTCCAGGGAACCCTTCTGGCCTCTACAGGCCACTGCCCTGGGGGTCCATGGACGGGACTGGAGATAAACAGTTTTCCCTGCCACTTGGAAATTGGTTACAAATGCACCAGAGGGGATGGCAGGTGCTGCTATGTGCCAGCCCTAGGGCCACCACCCAAGTATTGCTGTGTGGTCCCTGCCCGTGGAGACAAGGACTTCAGGACTGAAAGGCTGCATAACCAGAGAGAACGCTGTGCTCATCAGCTGCCGAAGTCAGACTCCTGGAGCCCTTGCCCCAGCCTGAAGCAGGGTTCGAGTCGAGTTACAGATTGGCAGGCAGACCTGTTGTCCCCAGCTGCACACGCCACACCCTCCCACTATAGGGAGGTCGCACTGGGAGCCAGGTGACAGCCCCACACACAGGAAGCCATTGCTGCTGGGACGGCTGCCCAAGGGGAGGGCAGAGGGCACCTGCCTGGCAGGCCTGAACATCCTGTGTCCCTCGAGGGACATGCTGGTGGCAGTGGGCAAGGCGAGACAGGACACAAGGCACACTATGACAACGTGACAGAGGACGGGTCCCTGAGACGCTGGGTCGCTCCCACCCCTCAGCAAATAAGGACACAATGACAGCTAGGAAAATAGAGTACAAAAGTCTCATACAGGAAATAGAGCCGTGCACACTCACGTCTCTTGGTGAGAGTCTTTAGAGCTTTTTTCTCTTTTTAAAAAATGTTTCTCTGTTTTGTTTTTTTGGGAAAAGCCTCTGCCAGCTGAGGCTGCCACGGGCAGAACTGGGGAGGTCCCTCCAAGGAAGCTTGCCTTGCTGGGCAGTGTGGCTTTTATTTTTTCTTCTTTTTTTTAAGAAAGGGAGGTGAAGCCGGCTGTGGTGGCACATGCCTGTGATCCCAGCACTCTGGGAGGCTGAGGCAGAAGGATTGCCAAGTTCAAGCCCACCCTGGGCAACTTAGCAACTTAGTGAGACCCTGTCTCAAAATGAGAAATTTTTAAAGGGCTGGGGATGTAGCTCAGTGTGAAGGTTCTGGGTTCAAGCCCCAGTACTTCAAAAAATTTAAAAAGAAATGGCAAAGAAAAGAGAGGAGAAATGGAGATGAGAAAGCCAAGGGCCCAGTGGTTCAGCTGCCAGCCCAGCCACTCTCAGACTATGCAGGGAAGAGAAGCCCAGTTCCTGTGCAGACCGGGCAGAGCTACCTGGGCCAGTGCAGGTGAGCTGGGGCCAGAACTGGCCTTGGTGATCCCTGAAGGCCAGCCTCACAGGACATCTGTCCTCTGGGTGCTCACGTGTCTGCGCGTGCGAGCATGTGCATGGCTGCAAGCCTGGGTGCATGTGCCCGTCTGCTGGTCCTAACACAGTGGAAGCTGCCCAGCTTGGCATGGGACAACTCAGCCTCTCTGCCCGTGTGCCCCAGCGTGCTCACCCAAGTCCCGCCTGGCGCAGAACCTTCTGCTCCGTCTACACCTCAGGAGCTTCAAGGACGACTGCCAGGCGCACTTTCCTTCCTTCCTCTGGCCACTCCTTCCTCCTGGGATCCGGCATTGGAGCTGGGCTCCCCGAGGTGGTCATGAAGCCCCTTACGAGGTGCCTGCTGAGGTTTGCAGCAATGACATTTAATACTTCTGGAATGATTAAGAATCGGAGAACAGACGTGGGTGGCTACGCTGGGCTCCAGGTGGTGGGTGCCAGGCCCTGCCTCCCTGCGGGGGGCCCTGCCCATAGGGCAGGGAGGACAGAGGCTGGCAGCCTGGGCGGGCAGCAGCTGGAGCTTCCAGCATGGCACAGCAGTGGGCCAAGGAGAGGCTGGCATCAGCTGAGGGAGGACTGGAGGGCTGCCACACCTGGCTGAGCGGGTGGGCAGCCGGGAAGCACAGGGCAAGGAGCCTACAAGAGGCTGGGGCGGCCAGGCCGCCTGCAAGGGCGCCCGTAGCCACCATCGCTGCACCCGCTGCTCTGCAGGCTGTAGTGGTCATCGGCATCACTGCTGCTCCCAACACTGTCCAGCTCACCCGGGCCAAACTCCATGCCCTCTATGTCCACCTCTGGGGAAACAGAGAGGAGGAGATCAAGCACTGCACAGCAGAGTGGGGCGCCCTAAGTCGGCTCCATGGGGAGCAGAGGGGCCCCTGCCCAGCCCCACAGTGGCAGAGGCTGAGGCAGCTCCGCTCTGCAGCTCTCAGTAAGAACCAGCACTTCCCAGGGCCCAGTGGCCTCTGGTGCTCACGCAGCCCAGTCACTGGTCTTGGCGCTCCTCCCTCCTGCACACCTCAGTGAAGGACAAAGCTGGTCCTCGAAGGCAGCAACCCCCAAAGCCGCCCCAGGCACTTCCTCTCCCAGGGCGTGCCCCTCAGCACCCCACCTTGCTCTGAGTCATCTGTGGAGACAGCGGAGCCGGTGCTGTCCGTGCGCACACGCTCCATGCTCTGCACCGACAGCTGCTCCAGGCGCCGCTTCAGGAAGCGATGCTCCCGCTGCAGCTGCTCCTTGATGCTCAGTGCCCGGCGATCCTGCTCCTCCAGTTTCTGGGGACAGGGAAGGGACAGGAGGCAACAGTGAGCCTGTGGTCAGGAGGGGGCATCCCCCACAGGTGCAGGGACACAAGGCCAGGCAAGGCAGGATCCACTCCTGGACACAGCCCAGCCAGGCCATGATCACAGAGCACCCTCCCCACACGGCCAGGCTGAGTCATGCGTGGACCTGAAGCTCTAGGACAGGGCTGCCCAGCCTCTGGCCTGCACCATCCTCTCCAGGGGACAGCCCTGCCACAGCACCTTGCCTTCCCCTCAGTCTGGGCCCCTCGCCATGCCTGTACCTGAAGCACCCTGCCCTCCCGCATCCTCCTATTGCGCCTCAAAGCTCCTGTCACCCCTGCCTGGGTGCCCATGCCTGGGACACAGAGTAGGCCCTTCAAGGGGACAGAAGTCTGCCCTGGCTGGTCCTGATGTCCCAGATCCCCAAGTCAGCAGGAGCTGGAGATCATGGGGGCTGCCCCAGGAAGTGTCTGTCGGTCTCTCTGCAAAGACACAGAGGGAGCCCCTACCCTTCTGGCCACCACACCTGACAACTGCTGCCAGCCAGTCATGACCCAGGGCCACGAGAGTCACCTGTACCCTAAGTCCCCTTCCTGAGACTGGCCGTCCAATACACTGTACCTCCAATCACCAGGCCAGTTATCTCCCCGATCCCTAGCAGCTACTGTGGCTGTGCTCACAAAACACCTCAACCCCCTGACATGCACCTGCTAGGTGGCTCCCCACCACCTCTGGGGCCTCTGGGTCAAGGGCTGGCCGGGATGGGGCAGGCTGGGCCTGCTCACCTTGATGTGCATCTTGGCACGCTTTAGGAGGCTCAGTGTGGTGTGGCGCGTGCTGTCTGGGCCCAGAGGCACCAGCTGCTTCAGCTGCTCCAGGTAGAGTCTGAGCTTGGCTCGTCTGAAAAGCCAGAGACGGAACCATCAGGCCAGGCGGCAAAGCCAGAGGTGACAGCGGGAGCCACCAACCCAGGCCCGCACAGACTCAACCCACCACAGGGGTCCCCTCCTGGCCTGGATGGCACCTGCCAGAGGAGCAGCTAACTGCAGCAGCCCTCTGGCCATGCCATCCACAAGGTCCCACATCCAAGTGACGCCCAGCCTGGGCTCTTGGAAACATCTGTGCCTCCCACCTCACCACGTACAGTGCGTCCTTGGTTGCAGCTGTCCTCACAGAAACCTGAGTGTGTCGAGGCAGGAAGGGCCAGGGACCAGCCACCCCTTGAGTCTGCAGTCCCTTTAGAATCTGCTGCAGTTCAGATTTTGTCCCCATCTCTGTAGGGATGGATCCATTTTCCCCAAAACTGGAGCTGCATACTCAGGGTTCATGAGCCATGATCCTCTGAGAAACATTGCCTTTGCTGGCTGGGGAGGGGCAGCTGAACTGGCCCCTGGGCTTCCCTCTGATGCCCTGCAAAGGCCCGGGACCTCTGCCGTGTCTGCACACATGCACCCACCCACAGTGAACGCGTGACACTCCACAACAGGCCCACCCAGCCCTGCTTCCAAACCCATATGCTTCGCTCAGAATGAATTCCTAAGAGCAGGCCTGCCAGGGCTGGGGATTTAGCTCAGTGGTTTCGCTGCCTGATGCGCAAGCACAAGGACCCAAGTTCGATCCCCGGTACCAAAAAAAAGAGTAGGCCTGCCAAGTCGGGGGGTAGAATATGTTTACAGGGTTCAAAAATCTGTTGCCCAACAGCCCTGCCACAGCCAGCACCCATGTGTGTTTTCCCCTTTCCATGTCTGCTCCCTAGCTGCGGAGCCCTTGCACACCCACGGCCTCTGTCAGTTCTAGAGACACTGGAGTACAGTGGGCAGGGACAGCGACCTCCTCGGCAGGAGAAGCCACAGTGCAGAGAGAGGCAGGAGAGGGGCTGTGATTCTGGGTCACTTCCTGCTAGCGCATCCACACCGCACCCTCCATGGCAAAGCACCTTCTGGCCCAGGGGCCCAGCCCACAGCACTTGGGGAGCCAGAGGTTCTGGATTAACCTGAAGTAGACCTCAGGAAGAACGTCCAGGGCACAGGACTGAGGCTGCGCTTGCCTAGGGAGGGTCAAGGCCCTGGGCCACAGCGGCAAGACTACCCAGAATGCCAGAACCTCAGCCTCCTCATCTCCACGGGGATATGCCCCCCACCCCCAGGAACCAAAGGGGTAGGAGGCGCTGAGCGTGGCAAGGGAACAGAGCTCTCTGCTCAGGGAGAAGGACCCTCCCAAGACGGATCCCCACTGTCCTGAAGCCACCACCAGGACCAAGCCAGCCAGGGATCTCCTCCCCGGCCCAGTCATTACACAGCAGACAGCAATTTCCCCACCCACCATTCACAGTACTTGCCCAGAAGCACACAACTTTTATGGAGGAAATATTAGAAAATACAAAGAATGAAAGTATTCTTACATTCCGTCACCCAGACACAATTGCATTGCCATTTTAGTGTATTACATTTCCACAGCATGAATGTTAGGTGAAAAAAATCAAGATACAGAACCGAGTACATGACAGATGACCCAAATTTGTTTAAAAAATAAAAAACAGATCCACACAAGAGACTCCATGGAACACAATGAAGCACGGGGAGCCCACATCTTGGGCACATGCGCTGGCAACATTTATTTCCTTAGCTTTGTGCTTTGCTGTATTTTCCAGTTTTCTATGCTTAAAAAACTCACAGATGACTATTACAATCAGAGAAGGACACAATTGTATAAGAAAGGAAAAAAACCCCCACAGGTAACAGACAAATGACAGCCGAAAAATATTCCCAATACATGTAAAAGACAAACATGCCCATGATATCTTGAGCTCACACATCAAAAAGGAAAAGCAATACCCCCACGTAACAACAGGCAAAGGACACAAACCAGCAAGCTGCAAAATACAAAGGGCAAATCTAACATAAAACTGACTCCATCTCATAAGCAATCAAGGAAATGAAAACATAAACAAGCAGGCACTCATTTTCCCCTTTGTAACGGCCGAAACGCAAAGGCTGCTTGGCACTCGCTTGACCAGCACGTGGGGATGCCAGCTGCTACGGGAGAGGAGCCGTTGGCGCAACTGTCAAAGTCACATTGGCTCAGAGCATCGGCCAGGGTTTCTACTTCGAGGGTTCAGGCCCTACAAAACCACACCCCAGGGGTGCAAAGACCATACTTGGCAAGGTTCGCCGCCAAGGGGGCATTGCCAGAACCTCGGGGCAGGCTCTGGGACGGGGAGGCCAGAGAGGGGACCCGGACAGGGACAGAGAGTACTTATGTGGATAACAAAGTCCCCCTCTCAACCCAGGGGCACCATTTGTGGGGGGTGTGCAGTGGAGCTATGTGCACAACACTCGAGAAAGTCATTCTCAGAGACAAATGAGGCCACCTGACCACATATGTGCAGTGTGCAAAGCCCAACAAGCTGGCCCAGCCCCAGGAGAGCACACGGCCAGGGCTTTGGGCTGCACAGGTCATCCTGGCACCCTGCCCTAGGCAGTGGCTGTGACAGGCCCCCTGGGGCGAGGGCCTGGAACTGGCTCTGCCAACAGCTCGTTGAGGGATTGGGGGGGTTCTCATGTCACCCCAGGTAGCACCAGGCTGCCACCTCCCTACAGCTGCTGCAGCACCCCAGCCCTCCACCCTTCACCCCGAGGCTGTCCTGCCTGTTTGAGGAGCTCCTGAAGGACCACTGCATGGCTGCAAGTGTGGAGGGCAGATGTGCTGTGGGACCCCTGCATCCCTCAGCAGCTGACTGTTCTCCACCGTGGCCTGATCGTCCTGCACAGGGCCTGGCCAGCTTACCACTGAAAAGCCTGCTCCTCAGGAGGGTCTGAGCTCCAGTCCGGGTTCCTCAGCACCCAAGGGCAGAATCCAGGCTGCCAGAGAAGAGGCAGCAAGGAAATGCACAGGATGGGGGGCAGCAAGCACCCCACCCTCCTGTTTGTTCACCTGCATCTTCAGGCTGGTAGCAACTTACACTCCCTGTGTGGTCCCGTGCGGATAGCTGAGGACACAGGGCAGAAGGTCACAACTTGGACAGCCCGGCTCCATCTCAGGAGAGGGCAGCCACCCAACTGAGGACATGGGGCTGGCCTCTGGGACATGCACTGGCCCTTCAGGGGGCACTGAGTGCCAGGAAGACAGCCAGGACTTCCTCCTCAGTACCCTAAGGGCAAAGCCTGGGGCCGGGCGCAGGAGAAGGAGCAGCCAAGCACAGGCGTTGGCAGTCTGGTGTCCACACCGGTGCTCGCGAAGGAGGAACTGGACTGGTGGCTCAGAGCACGACAAGGGGAAGCCCCCGAGTCCAAGCCAGGCCCAGCAAGGGTTCACCTCCAGGAGAGGCAATGTCTGGGCCTGGCTGGACACTTCCTTCCTTCCTTCCTTCCTCAGGGAGCTCCCGGCCAGGAGCAGCAGCAGCCCGCCAAGACCCCAGTCTCTGCCAGGGGCCCAAGCTCCAGGCTGTCCACAGCTGCGCCTCAGCCAGAAGACCTGGCACTGGGCTGGAGGGTACCCAAAGACCTCCTGGCTGCCCGGCCATCCCTCCTCTGTCTCACAGGGGCCCCAGGAAGTCCTGTCTAAGCTCAGACTCTGAGACAGTAAAGGCAGAGGCCAGGGGGAAGGGGCAGCTGCACGGGTCAGAGGCTAGCCCTGTCCTTCCTCACATGTGGCCACACCTGCCCTCCCTCAAAGGCACCACCCATCTGTCAGATGCCACCTCCAGGAAGCTCTCCCAGAGCACCCCTGTGCCTGTCTAAATCCTGGGTCCTAGTCAAGGCAAGGCTGGTCTTCTCTGGCCTGGGAGCAAGCCCAGGCCTGCCCTGCACCATCCCCCCCCCCAGCCTCACAGGAAACCCCCAAACACATGGGAACAGTGCAGGAAGTGCGAGCCCTCTGGGAACACCGTGTTCCACCCCTGCAGCTGCCTGCCCCCGCCAGAGGCCCAAATCGCATCCTGGGGGAGCGGAAGTTGGCACTGCCATGGGCGCAGACAAGAGGCAAGGGGAGGGGAGAAGTGGCTGAGCTCCAAACCTTTCCAGCAAGACTAGGGTGCAGACCTGCCCACTACGAAGGCACGAAAGAGCACACCCACCTCAGGCAGGAGCAGAGGCCAGGAGAGAGCTGTTGCCCTGCACCTCTGCGGCTTCCTTGGTCCTGGAGCGGTGTCCCACCCTTGCGGCTTCCTGGTCAACACTGATCTGCCCCGGTACAAGACTCTAGCACACCTTCTTGGAAGGTACAGGACAGTGGACAGGGGCCTAAGGGGCCAGATCAAGGGGGCCGAGGGCTGAGTGCTGCTCCAAAGGGGTTTGGACGCTCCAAAGCACACCGTCTCCTCCTCCAGGCAGCTGGCCGTGACTGCCACCAGCACCAGGGGCCCTGTTCCAACTCTCTGGCCCAGGCTGAGGATCCAAGAGCACAATCCGGGCCCCTGCACCTGTCTGCCAGCCCGAGTGCCTGGGCATAGACACCGGAGGCCCAGGCAGCCCTCCCAGGACAAAGCGGGCCAGCCACAGCCTCTGCTCAGCAGGTGGGGCCACATGGGAACGAGGGCTCGCTTACCTGTGCTTTTCTAGTTCGTTGTGTGAAGACCTGTTCAGAGAGACAGAAAAACAGGACTCACTCCGAGCCCCGAGCCCCAACAGCAGAGCACAGGCGACGACAGCCATGCTCAAGAGCTGGGAGCCACAGACAGCAGCCACACAGGCTGGGGGTCCTGGGCTGTCCCCGGCTGGGGGGGGGGGCACAGAGGGAGCAGAGATGGAGCAGAAAGGAGGCCCAGGGCCACCCAGACCACCTTGAGAGCCCTGGGGGTCTCTGGCTGGCAGGGAGCTGCCCAGATGTCCATCCCTAAGGTCAGCCTTCCGGAGACAGGACGCTCCTGTCCCCCACAGCCATGCCACGGAGCTCACACAACTGTGAGATGGGATGTGCAAGAGAGGAAGTCCAGACAGGCCGGCTTGCAAGGGGCATGGGAGGACACTGAGATTCACTTTCCCCAGGGGCCCCCTTCTGGCAGGACTGGCCACCTTAGGCCCAAGCTTAGTCCCCCTGTAGACAGTGGCCCTGCCAACCTGGTCCATCCAGATAGGGACGCAGAATGTGGAGGCCCTCAGCAGGGAGTGCCACTCAGGTAGCTTGCCCCGGTTCTTTCGGGTCACTTTCCCAGTCCAGAGGGGACCCCAAAGGCCAGGCAGAGTGCTCAGCCCTCCCCAGCTGCTGCACATGTGAGCAGAGGGCTCGGGTCAGGTCAGTGCAAACGCAGACACCCCTTCCTGGGCACTGCCCACTGCTCCTGTCTTTCCCTCACCTGCCTGACCGCCCATGGCCCTCTTCCCACCATGCCTCCCAGCTCCTGGGTCTCCCTGTGCTGATCACATGGGCTGGGTGAGAAGCTTTGGAACTTCTTCCAGGGCCAGCCAGAGCCAGGGGGGACACCACTGATGCTCCTCCTGGCCTGCCGGGGACTGTCCATCAGCCCAAGCCACAGCTGGCCATGTGGTCCACAGGGTCTGCTGGCTTATGAAGGAGGCTGCAGTCGGCAGGTGCCCTTCAGCATAGAGAAGCCCACCCACCCAGCTACCCCCTGGATGGATGGCACTGGGCTGGCCCTACCCTGCGAGAGGGGCCAGGGACCTCAGAGGTACTCCTGAGTCCAGAGACCCCCTACAAGGGACCCACCCCTGGAGAGAGGGGGCCCAGTCCTAGGTGGCCATGCCAAGCACTTTCCCAAGAAGTCACTGCTCTCCTCAGAACCTGATCCCTTCTGCTCAGCTACTGCCCAGAGGTGTACACAGACCCCACCCCAAGACTTCTGCTCACCCCTCACCCAGGTCCACTGTGCCTGTCCCTAACCCTCACTTGGCAGAACATAGAAGCCTTATAGGTACAGGGCTGCCCTGCCGTGTCAGGGGCCCAGGCCCTCCCCTGGGCTGGCTGCAAACACCCTGGAGGGCGGTGATGGCCAGGGGAGCTGAGCTCTGCTGCAGGAGGGGTACACCCAGCCAGACGCCTCACTCCGTGCTCTACATCTCCACCTCAGCAGAAGGTGGGAGGCCAGGACCCCACCGGGAACAGAAGTCAGAGGCAGGTGAGTGGCCCTGGGCCAGACCCCTGACCTTTCTAGGCCTCAATTTCCTGAGCTGTAAAATGGAGACAAACAACCTTTCCTCTGAGGGGCCAGGCTATAGACTAACACCTAGGGTGTGAGTATGCAGACAGCATTCAGGCAGCTTTCTCTAGGACTCTGCTGGTCAGTGTGGGACGCTCCACAGCCTGGGGCAGCAGAAGCAGGGGCCTGGCCAGCTCATTGTGGAGGCCCAAGGCAGTAGTGCCCCAACACACTCCTGTCCTGTAAATCATCCCCAGCAAGGGACCAGGGGCTGGGGATCAGGAAGCTGGAGCCTCAACCAGTTCCTTGCCAGGCCCAGGACGCCACAGAGCTGGGTCCCCGTGCCAGCCTCTCTGTTTCCCAAGAACAGGCGGCCACAGGAATGAGCCACACCCTCTGCCAAGGGGCCCCAGAGCCCCCGGCCAGCACAGCTCCAGCCCAGAGAGGCCCCTGGACACTGCCCAGCGTGTGGTGGTCCTGGAAGCGGCTGGAAGAGTGGAGCCTCGGAAAGCCCCAGCCCAGAGGGCCAGGTCCCCACTGGGGCTGAACGTGCACCCCAAGCTTTTGGGCTTGCAAACACTAACTATAAGGTCCAGGGGACCAAGGGGGTAATTGGCTCCAGGGAGCCTGCAGCCTGACCCTCCTCTCACTCCACTGAAGGCCTCGGCCCAAAGAGGGGGACCCTGCACTCGTGGCTGGAGCTCCGCGGTCCAGGGCTGGACGGGCCGGTGGGCACGGGGAAGGGGTCTTTGTCTGGACTTCAGGGGTGGGTTTGAGTGGAGGCGCAGGGCCCAGGACGGGGGAGAGAGGTCGGGGCCACCTCACGGGGGCCTTCGCGTGCCCGGGCCCAGAAGCCCAGGCTGCGGCCGCTGACAACGCGCCCGCTGCCCGGGGAGGTCGGCAGCGCCCCGGGGCGGGCGCGGGCGCTGTACGCGCTGTACGCGTGGCACTGTTTACGGCGGCGGAGGCGCGGCCCTGGGAAGATGGCGACGCACGGGCGGGGCCGGTGCGCCTCCTCCGGGCCGGCCGCCGGGGCGCAGGCCGGCGGAGGCGCGGGGGCACGGCTCGGCCGCCCGGCGGGGCGGCGCGAGGGCGGTACCTGTTGTTCGGGGCCTTGCGCACCAGGCCGGCTGCCTTTGTTTTCTTCCTGGCGAAGTCGCCGTCGAAGGGCAGCACCGAGGCGTAGCCGTGCTCGGCCTCTGCAGACAGACGGCGGGGTCAGCGGCCCCCACCCGCCCGCCCACCACTCGCGGCCCACCCGTGTACAAAGCCGCGCAGGCTACCTCGGTCCCGGCGCTCCAGGTATTCGGCCGCCTCCAGCAACAGCAGCAGGGAGTTCAGCTCCATCCTGCTGCTTGCTGCCTGCGCCCGGGACGGAGGCGGCTGCTGCCCGGTGCGCTCCGGCCGGCTCCGCTGCCGCCCGCCCCGCGCGCCCCGCGGCTCACTTGCCCGAATTCGCGGACTCCGAGCTCGGCCGCCACCCTCCGCCTCGGGCCCTCAAATTGACACATAAGGGAGACCGACGGCCAGCACAGCCAATAGGGACCGGCGCTGTGGCCCTGGGGGCGGGCACTGGGCAGGGCTCTGGTCAATAGGAATAGGCCTAGCTCCTCGGTCCCGACCGAGAATGTTGACAGATGCGAAGCTCGCAGGGGATAGGCCGGCCGCGGTAGTAACAATTTAGAAGCCCAAGCTTAGCAACAGCACGTGGTGGCCCGGCCCCCGCGCTCGCTGACTGGCGGCTGCTGTGCATGTTAAGTAGATGCTGCACGCGGATTGGGCCAGAGCGGCCTATGTAAATTGCGGCCGCGGACCAATGGACGGCGTCTGGGCGCGCGGCCAATGAGGGCGTCGCGGCTGGACTCGTTGCCGAGGGGAAGAGGCGCGCGGTGTGACTGCTGCTCGGCCTTGCGAGGGGCTGTGGGGTGCGGGCGCTTCCCGGGAGACGCCCGACCGGATGCACCGCGGGACACGCGCCGCCGCCCTGTGCACCAGTGCTCCGGGACCTATTGTCCGGGCTAGCGGCTGCACTGGGTCTGCGGGAGGATGGGGCTTCTTGATGGCTGGGGGTCTCACGTGGGGCTTCAGACGACGCCATCCCCGCAGGACACGGGTGGCTTCAGGAAGGCTGGGACTCAGGGAGCCTAAAAGCCAGGCCTCTCTGAAGATGTCAGTGGGGAAGCCGAGGCGGCAGCCGAGTGCCCTCCGCGCTGCCCAGGGGACACCAGAGGCCCGGCTGGGGGAGGGACCCTCGGTGTCCCCTACGCGGGCCCGCTGCCTCTAGGGAGAACCCTGCTCTCCGCTGCCCGGTGACCTGGACCCCAGCCCCGGCCGCGCTCTGCTCCCATGACTGCTCCTTGATCTTCTCTCGCTGTCCTCCGGCTTTTTGGTTTAGTTTTGGTTTCATTACTAGGGATGGAACCCCGGGCCTTGCGCGCATGCTACTGGCAAGTGCTCTGCCACAAAGCTGTATACCCAGCCCCCGCCCCCCCAAATTTTAGAGACAGGGTCTCACTACATTGTGATCCTCCTGCCTTAGCCTCCCGAGTAGTTGGAATGACACTCCAGCAACCACCCCAGCGCTCTCGCTGTTTTTCTCGCTCCTGGAGAAGGGCAGCAGGTGGAGTTTTGTGGCAGAATGTGGCTGGATACTCCCACGCTCAGAAGATGGCGGGGGTGGGGGCTCTGCTACCAACCGAACAAAAGCTGCTGAAACCACAGCACTGTGCGTCCCAGCAACAATGTGAGTGCTACGTGCATTTCCACTTGCCACGCCCACGGGCTCCCAGAACCCGGTCCGGTGACCCGGAGCGGAGAGGGAGCCACCCTGGCACGTGGCCCTGCTGGGGCTCGAGCCCCGCTGTCCCATCCAGCGCAGGTAAGAGCGACGCGCGCTCCCCAGCCCTGCGGGGCCCGGGACGTGACACAGGAGGTGCCCTGTGCGGACCGTGTCACGGGCCTTCCTGCCGCAGCCCGCTCACGGTCGAAGGGATGCAAGGTCGCTCTGGGCTTCGCCTCTTGCCTGGTGCCGCCGCATGTGACCATGGGAGCCACCTGCCTCCTCCGGCCTAGGCTTCTGCGGAATCCGCACCCGGCGCTGTCCAGACCTCCCTGGGCTGGGGCGACTGGCCGGGCCGGGACCACGAAGACTGCCAGGGAAGATCTCGGGGCAGGCCCACCGGGCACTGCGGGCGGCTTTGGGGCCCTGGGATCCGCAGGCGCCACGCTCCCTTGGGGCTGGCAAGTGTCTACACCTGCCCGCCACAAGGCTTTCTCTCCTCATGGGGCAGCCGCAATGGTGCTCGCGGAGCCCCAGGGGCGGGGGGAGGAAGAGGATGCAGGTGGCCGCCAGAAGAGGCCCCTTCCAGTGGGAACCTGAGGTCCACGGTGGGGCGGAACAGGCAGACACCGACAGCCTCCCCTCCCACCCGCCTGGCCCCCGATCTCGGGGCTGAGACTCCCACCCCACCGTGGGCCCCTCTGTGCTCCCAGGCCTCCAGGGGCTCCACCTGCTGCTCTCAGACGCCTCTGAGTGCCCGCCCACTGTGCTCCCCACTGCCTTCTGAGGGACCAGCGGGAGAAGGGTCCTCCGTGGCGGCGGCAGCGGGGACTGGCCGGCCTTCCGGTGCCCCCAGCCTCAGCTTCCCTGGATGTAGATGAGGTTGGCTCCCACCCTGCAGCCTTTGGGGTGCACCAAGGGCTCCTACCCACCCTGCCCAAGTGCCAAGAACCGGCCAAGACTCCTCCCAGGACCCCCAGGCTGGCTGGGCCCTGCTTCCCTTTTGTGGGCCCTGGGTCACAGGACTCCTGTCACCCCCGCAATATTGTCCACAGCTTCTCAGGTGTCCAAGCACCTTGGCCCAGCACTGGGGAGCACCCTATGCACCTGGAGTGGGAAGGTTAGTGGGGCCCTGCTCCTCCTCAGGGGCCGGCCCTGCCCACCCTGCTGTGGCCTCTGCCCCGTGGCCTCTTTGATCACCGGGTGGACACCCTGCACTCGCCTAGATCCCTAGTGCCATCCTGCTGGGCAGGAGGCCGCCCTGCCCACCTCCTGGCACCCTTGCCGCCTGCCTGGCCAGACCCGGGGCGGCTGTACTGCCAGCTCCCTGAGGGCCCCTCTAGGCCCAGGGCAGGTTTGGATCAGCAGCCCCAGAGAGCCATGGCAGCCCAGCCTCCCCCACTGAGGCCCGGTTCAGTGCTAGACCAGATCCCGCCCCTGGGTCCCTCCTCGGCAGCCACACCAGACTCCAGTGTGGCCATGAGAAATTAGTGTGGTCACTTGGGCTCTCTGAGCCTGTTCCCTGCTTAGAACATTAAGATGTGTTATGACCAGCGGGGGCTGTTGCTCAGTGGCACTGCACCTGCCTCACAAGTGTAAGGTCCTGAGTTCGATTCCTGGTACCAAAAAAAGTGTTATGTCCATGTACCCACTTCACACAATGGATGTAACCATTATGTACTATAAAAATGGGCTAATAAAGTGCGACTGCCACACCTGCCTCTGGTGGGAAGCAGGATGCCCGGAGAGCACTGGCAGCAGTGGGTGCCCAGGAAATAGCAGAATGCAGCGAACCCCAAGTGGGCAAGTGCTCCAAACCCCTGCTCCCCACCCCACCCCAGAAGTGGGCCCAGGGCTGCGGGCTCTGCTCAGCCCCGGGTGGAGCCAGCGCCAGGCTGGCCAGCACTAGGCACCAAGCCAGGCCTCCGAGTTTCTGTGGGCCTTCCAGAAACTTCGACATGCAGGGGAACATTGCCTGCAGAATACAAAGGGAACAGCAAAATCAAGACACATGAAGATGTAATTAAAGGTCTATGGAAACTAACACAGTGTCCACATTACTTCTGGATTTAAAATAAGAAAAGAGTTCATTATATTTGTGAACAATGAGTGGGGTAGTTCTTCCCCTCGCTTTTCAAGGTTTTCCCACTAGCTTGCAGAGCCCTGCACAACTTAGCAACTGTAATTTTTTTCTATTCATATTTCTTGTTGTTTTTAGCAACTGTAAATTAAAAGAATTTCTCATAGCCAAAACTGTCCAGAAACAAAATTAATTCTCCCTTCAAGAGCTTTTACAGGGAGTAGGGGAGCCATGACCGAGGGATGTGGGTGCAGACCAGGCCCCGTCTGGTGTCAGGGTGGCCTTCCTGGTGGCCTCCCTGCTGCTCCCGAGCTCACGTGCCTGTGGGGGCCTTTGTGTCCCAGGAGCCGGGGTGGGGGTCCTCTCCCATGAACCACAGGGGCTCTGGTGAGGGAATTAGGCATAGGGAAGGTGGCACTACCAGGGAAGGGTGCCAGGTAGAGGTGGGCCTAGGAGAAAACAAGTCCCTCCATTTCTCTGGGGCATGGGGGTGGCATGCAGCAGGCACTCTGGGTCCTGCCAGCCTCTCCACCTCCTGCACAGACCGGAAGGCCCTAGACCTGCAGATACTGTGAAGCTGCCCACCCCTCCCTGGTGGTTCAAGGGATCCAGCTCCCTCTTTCCTGCCCTCACCGACCCATAGGGCATGAGCTGCTGGCCTCCCTTCATTGCCATGCCTGCCAGGTATCTGCCAGGCCCCTGATTCCTAGGCCCGCAGGGACAGGGTGGGAAGGGGCCAGAGTGGGGCATAGAGGGCAGGTGGGGAAGGGGGCAGAGACAGATTGTTCCCTGGAAGCCAGGTTGCCCAAGGAGGCAGTGGGGTGCCCCCTGGTGGTCACTAGGGGCTACAGCCAGGACTGGCCAAGCACTGGCCTTGGCCACAAGAAGGGAAAAGGCTACTCAGGCTCCTGAGGCCTCACTGGGCCACCCCTTGTGATGAGGGTCACTGCTGCCCTCGTTGTGACCCAAGACTCAGCCGAGTGTGGGGTGGGGTGACCTCACCAGGACTGGCTGCAGGCCACAGACAAAGGATCAGGCAGCAGGGCCCCTCTGGAGCCCTAATGTAGGTGTGCAGGAACCCCAAGCCACTTGCAGGGGAAGGGGCAGCACAGGATGGGGGACCCCTTGTCCCTACCCCATGCCACCTCCCAAGGTCAAGCAGGCATCTCTCAGGAAGCCAGGGGCCTCCTCTGCAGAACCCCCATCCTGCGCCTACTCCTGGGTACCCCATGGGAGCTGCACACTACATCTCGGGTGCTGGACGGCTGTGGCACTGGGCCTCAAGCTCCTGCTGTCACCCCAAGTTGGGCTGGGTGTGTTGAGGAAGCAGGTGGCCCCATCCCAGGCTAGAAGGCAGTGTGAGTCCTGTCTCCAATTGCCAGGTGGGTGAGGTGGGTGGTCACAGGTCCCAGCTGGGCCAGAGTTCCCCAGCTCACTCCACAGCCCAGCTCTGCTGCTTAGGAACCTCTGGGAGCCTCAGTTTCCCCAACCATGACACAAGAATCCTGCTCCCTTAAGGGACTAGCAGGCATATATGAAGCCAGGACACGGAAGCGGAAGGACCAGTGGTGGTGAGGATGGGGCCCGAGCTAGGAGGCTGCCTCTGAGCACACTCCCTGCCCACCTAGGGGGTCCGGCCCTGAGCTCCCACGGTGGGTGGTCAGCCAGCCGAGCCTTCTGGATCCTTTCTGAGCTGCACGGTCTTGGTCCTGGCTCTGCCCCTCAGGTGGAGAAAGCCATCGGAGGGCGGAGTGGCCAAGGGACCCTCACTCCTGGGGAAATGGGGCTCCAGGGGACCCAGGCCCCCTGCAGGGCAGCTCAGGCCCCAAGGCCGGTCACAATGGCCCAAGGGTAGATCCACCTCTGACCTGCTGGATACAGAGGACACCACATCACTGTGGGCGCCTGTGAGGACAGAGGGACACTGGGTATAGCCTGGCTTCTTAGTCCCTGGCAGCAGGGACACCTCCAGACAGCTGACGACTCCACTGTGGCACAGCTGTCACCGGTGTGGGGACAAGGGGGGACAGGAGGCTGGGATCAAGCCTTGGGCAGCCGGAAATGCCCCATCTCTTCTGCTCCCAAAGGACTTACCCTGCCTGGAAGAAGCAGTGTTCTGAAATGTTCTTAACAGGAAGAGGGTCTGGCAGCTGCTGTGGCCTCCCAGGGCTCCCTACCCTACCCTTTGTCCCCCAGGCACCATCTCCAAGTGCACCCAGGTCCCAAAAGCTCAGGCACCAAAAGCAGAGGAAGGCCCCATCACCATAGCAACCTCAGGGCTGGCCCTTCTGTGTTCTCTCCAGGGCACCTCCAAAGCAGTCCCCAGGCTGCTGGTGACAGCCCTATAACCAGGACCACCGAGGTGTGGTAGGCCCCAGAGGCACAGCCAAGAGCTCTCCCATCTGGCTCCGGTCACCCACCCACAGACCACACACAGGCCAGGCTGGGCCAGCAGCTGGAGAGTGGCGCTCTCGTGGCGGGAGACAGGCTCCCACTGGGCAGGGGTGGCCACCCCACTCCTGGGGGCTGATGGGAGCTGCATGCTGCCCTTCAAGTGTCCGCGTCAGCACGGACACCATGGCTTCCCAGGAGAAAAAGGAGTCAGTGTTCACAGAAGACACGAGAGCATCTGCAATCCTTAAACAGATTTATGGAAATGACTCTGAATTATAGCATTTAGAAAATAAAATAATCTCAATACATAATATTTCCTCCGTTACACACTCTCCCCCACAGAAGCCATTTCTGTGTACATGTGTTCTGCCACTAGACAGTATTTGATTTTGTTCTATAAAAGAAGCAATAGGTGTGTCATCTCTCTAAAAATAAAACTGCAATCATCATTGCAACATGAAGCCTGAGATTAAAGCCTGAGGAGGTGTCTGGACCAGGGTCCCTCTGGGGCCAGCCTGGACCCCAGCTGCCCCTGGGCCCAGGGAAGGGGTCGTGCCAGCCAAGCAGGCCCAGGAGCCCAGGGCCCGGGAGCCCGGGAAACGTGTGACCGTGAGTCTGCGCCTGGCATGCGGATGCGGATGCCCAGGGCATGTCCACTTGCCCTGGGGACCACTGGGTCCACTTCCTGCATTCCTCTCCCGGAAAAAATGAGCCACGCATTTTGAAGCAGGGTCCTGAGGTGGGCAGTGGGCACTGGGGAGTGTGTAGGGCGGGAAGCACACAGGGAGCCATGGCACTGGGCTGCAGAGTCCCTGCAGATTCTCCGCCACAGACAAGGCTGCAGAGTGGCTGCTCTCCCGCCCTGGCACACACAGCAGAGCCCAGCCCTGCTCAGCCAGGCGCCCTGCCTGGGCAGAGCTACCAGGCCCTGGGGCCAGCGAGGCTGACTTCTGTCCACCCCATGCCTGGTCTGGGGTCCCCCAAGGTGGGAGCCAGGACGGAGGGCAAGGCTGCGGCTTGATGAGATGCGGCAGGCCCCCCTGCAGGGCATCGCCTCCTTCCCAGCAGCCCTGGCGGGTCCAGGGCACAGGGCCATGTGTCACATGCCCGCCTTGTCGCTGTAGAAGGGCGTGACATGGAACATGTAGCAGTGCGTGCACACGCGCACCGGCTTCACCTGTCCATAGCGGGGCAGTGGTGCCGAGTGAGAGGAGCAGCGAGAGCAGAAGATCTGGAACCAGGGCGGGCGGCAGGCAGTGAGCAGAGGGTCCCAGGTCGGCCCCCAACAGCCCCCACCCACACTGGCAGGGCACCAGGGTTAGGGGCTCTGCTGGCCCTGGCCCCATGGGTGACAGAGCTGGGACCTTGGGGAACTCCAGGCAAGACCTGGCCCAGGATTCTGGGGTCGTGAGGGGCGTCCAGGGCCCGCAAAGGCTACTGCAGGCCTTTGCTCAGGTCCTCTATGCCTAGCCTGGCCCTGGCTCTGAGTGGCCAGGGCTGGACGTGGGCACCATCCAGGTGCACCTGGGTGCCTGCAGCCAGAGCAGGCCCCAAAGGCCGCCTCAGCCCCCAGACGCTGGTCTGACCCCCAGCCCAAGGCCAAGCCCCCGGGCCCCACCCACCTTCCCGCAGCTGCGGCAGTGGTGCTTTCTGCGGATGACGGTGAAGGGCGCCTTGCACGCGGTGCAGAAGCCGCAGGCCTCGTCTGGCACCCACTCGGGGGGGTCTGTCACAAGGAGAGCCAGGGCCATCAGCCACGGCCAGGCAGTGGACAGCACCTGACCCCTCTGCTCACGGCCACCCTAGACTTCAGTGACTGGCTAGCATTTCAGGAAACGGGTGGCGGCACAGGCGTCCCTCCTCACTGCCATCCGCAGGGCCTTGCAGTCACACCCCACTGCAGGCCCAGGCCAGGCCACCTGGACTCTGGATATGCAATGGGGAGGGGTTCTCCGCCTAGGTGACCCCAAGCTCTCACAGACAGCTGCCTGCATTCACCTGAGTAGCACTGTCGGCAGCTGCTCCCACAAGTGTGCTGCAGCACCCCACACCCCCAGAGCTCCCTTCCCCAACAGCCGTACGCCCGGCCCCAGCTGACTCCTGACAGGAGCAGGGCTCCCAGATCCCATGTAACCAGGTCAGACTCCGCAGCCCTCCACTCCCTGAGGAGGGCTCCCAGGGCCCCATGCCCCCGTCCCTGTCCCAGCATCCCGAGGCTGCCAGGGAGACTTCTCCCGGCACAGGGGTGGTGCAGCATCCTAGACCTGATGCCTCCGTGCCCGCACACCCTGCAGCATGTGCCCACCACGCTGACACCTGGCAGAGGTCACATAGCAACGTGGGGGCTATGTGCCTGGCAGCCAAGGCGTGACACAGTGGCAGGCGGCTCCTGGGGCTACAGCCTTCAGGATCCTGTGTCCACAGACACTGCACGGGCCTGGCCCACCATTCCCCACACACCTTCGAAGTCTCCGTCACGGGTCTTGGCCGCAAGTTCAGAGGACGACAGGGTTTCCTGGCACAGTGCACAGTCCTCCAAGGCTGCACTCCGCAGGCTCTGGGTGACTGGAGGAGAGAGGGAGGCCATGCAGTGATGCGGCTGGTTGTCCCTTGTGGGCTGCCTGGCCACTCCCAGGCCCACTGGGTGTGGCGTGTGGCATGTGGCATGGCCACCTCAGCAGGCAGGGTGCCACACTTCGCAGGGTCTCCCTCCTGAAGCCCCCTTTTGGCCCAGCAAGGTGGCCCTCAGGCCATGGAACATGTGACTGCTCCTCGCAGGTGTCCAGACCTGAGGCCCTTGCCAGTGAGTGGCCAGACCCCCCCCCACAGGCAGGGATTCTGTGGGCCCCATTCAGTGTGGCCCGAGCAGCCCACAGTCCCTGTGTGCATAGCCAGTGCTCACCACAGCTCTGAATACTGCCATCAAGGAGGCCCCCTTGCCTAGATTTCCCCGTCAGGAAGGGGCCTGGCTATATGGCTCCTGGCACAGCTGGATTGGACACGTGCTCTTCCTCACCAGCAAGGATGTCCCTGCCAGGCAAGGCTGCAGGACAGATTTCTAGGCCCAGCCACAATGTCCCATGTACCCAGATAACTCACAAGCAGAAGCCCTGTGGTAAAGGTGGCTCCCTCAGACCTGGTGCTTTTGTCCAGCACAGGGGCAGCAAACAGGGGTCTGGCCCCCTCCTTCCCACCCACACCTTCGGGGATAGAGGGCCAAATCCCTGTGCCACACAACCTCCCTGCCCAACGCCTCTCCCTCAACGGGCACCTGCTGCATGGATTGTGTGAGCAAGGCATGCAAGCACATGCAAGTTTGCACCTGCATGTGCCTATATGTGCACAGGGGAGCACACACACCTCTGGTGTGAGAGATATGTACACATGTAGGCAGATCACTGGCCGTGGGGAGGTGGCCCGTGTCCCCTCCCTTTGCTGGGGCCTCTGAATGCTCTGACAGGTGGGGAAGAGAGACACACATCTGGCCTTGCCGGGGGGGGGGGCAGGTCTCCCTGCCGCTGTTGGGCCCTTGCTGTCCTCCCCAGGCTGTGCTCCGGGTCCCCACAGCGGGGCTGCACACTGGCTCACACAAAGCCCGGATACATGGCTGCCTCAGAGTGGCAGGTGCAGCCTCTGTGCACTCCCTTCCTGGGGTGGACAGCGTGGTCGGCAGAGGCCTAGAGCCTGTCCTGGGGGCACTCACCCTTCTTTAGCTTCTCCTCGTCATCCGTTTCTGGCTTGGTGGCCATGACTTCAAACAGTGTTTTGAGAATACTCCTCAGGTCACTTGCATAGTTCGTCTGCAGCTGGTCAGCCACCCCTGAGGGAGAGGGCCACGGTGGGAGGAACAGAGGACAGAGGACGGGGCATGTGCCAGCCCTTGGGAGGGAAGGCAGCACTTCCTCATAGTCTGTCGCAGGCCATGTGATGGCAGAGCCACCACCAAGCTGCCCTGCCGGCCACCAAGGGACACCTACAGAGCCCCACAGCGCCCACCTGCATGGCACTGGAGTCACCACCACAGCCCCCAGCCCCATGACACACACCCCCAAAGAACTGACTGCAGGGCCTCAGGGTCTCAGCACTGACAGCTCGCGGCGGGCAGCCAGGGAGAGCCCATCCAGAGGAGGAGTCTGGGCTGCTGCAGTGCCCACCCTCACCTCCAGAGCTCCTTCCTCGTCCTTCCTGAGGAGGAGGCCTTGCTCTGCACTGGGGAGACCGCTGCCCTCCAGCAAGGCCAAGAGGTGCTGTCCCAGCCCACTGGCCTCTGGTCCCCTGTGCTGCGCCCCAAGTGTTCTGGGCCCAGCCCTCACACCTGAGATGCAGACAAACAGCCGGTGGATCAGGTCGTGGCTGCCGTGGAACCTGGAGCGGATCTTCTCTCGTGTGACCGTGGGGTTGACAGGCGTGGCTGCAGGGGCCACCTCCAGCCCGGTCTTGTCTGTGATGCAGGAAACCAACATGGAGCCACTGCGGAGAAGGAGATGGCGGGCGTGGGGTGGGACGTTGAGGAGAAAACCTGTCCTGCAGCTCTGGCTCCAAGGAGCCCAGGCACCCAGGCGGCCACCTCCTGTAACAGCTTTAAAGGGCCATCAGCTAACCCATGTGCCCCACTTGAAAGCCCAGGTGGCTCTGCCCCAGTGCCTGCCCTGCCTGGACCCTCCACTCAGCTGGGCCTCAAGTTTACACCGCTCCGGCCTGCAGCCATGGTTTAATATCATCTGCTCACTTCCTCCCATGGAAGCACCTCCTCACCTCTTATGAACCTGCAGGGGCAGAAAGATGCCCCTCAAAAGATGTGTCCACACCCAGGCCCCTGGAACCCAGGAATGTGGCCCTGTTTAGAAAGAAGGTCTTTGCAAGTGGAATTCAGCAAAGGATCTGGAGATGAGAATATCCGGGCTGTCCTGTGGGTCCTAAAGCCAATGACGCGTCCGTATAAGACACAAGAGAGGAGGCAGACACACAAAGGGAGGAGGGGCCGCAAGCCCACAGGGCCAGAGACTAGAGTGACGCAGCCACGAGCCAAAGGCCGCCTGGAGCCACAGCAGCAGGAAGGCAGGAGGAAACTCCCGCAGCCCCGGACGGACGGACAGGGGTCTGCTGGTGTTGGACTCCCGGCCTCCAGGCTCTGAGAAGAGATTTATGTGGGCTGAGGCAGCCGGGGTCGCAGCACTTTGTTAGAGGAGCCACAGGACACACGCGTCCCTTCCCGTCTTCCCAGGTACTGGGGTTCACCGTGCCTGTTTAAAGGGCATTTGCAGCTGAGCCCCTGCTCCAACCCTAAGATAATTTATCTCCTACTATCTCCTCGTCTCTTTGTCCCTCTCTGGGAAACCTCCTCCATTTTTTCTTCCACTTTTACCCTTGACATTTTAATTTCTGCTATCTGCTTTCTTATTTCCTACTCCTGTTGTCTCTTGGATGCAAAATCTTTTGTCTATCTAGAAATATTCATTACAAGTTTTGCAAGTTGCTATCACTGGCCAGCACAGTCTCTTCTCTGCTGGGGGCCGGGTCTGTTTGTGTGGTTCATCTCCCTCGCCAGCTATGGCCTTGACCGTGGGGTGCCAGGCTGTCTGGTTGAAGAGGAAGGCCTGCACCGGGGGAGATGACCGCTCACCTTGCTGGCGGAGTGGAATGTGTGCAGCCAACCTGGAAAGGCACCTGGGCACCATCTGAGTAACCCTGTACCTGCAGGAGTTCCACAGGAACTCTGTCCCTGTGTCTGCAGGCAGTGGGATCCTAGAGGCAGCCCCAGGCGTTCTGGAGAACTGGAAAGGAGCCCAAGCCTGGAGCGATGGGATGGAGAACTGACCTCGGTCTGGGACCCATGGCTGGGGCCCCTCAGGGACACTTCGAGCCCTGGACGCACAGTGGAACACAGAACTGTGCGATGTTGAGGGTCCCGCGCTGCAGTGCCACCCAAGAGCGCTCAGAACCACAGGGCCACAAGGCAGGCGTGGCCGGAAGAGCCCAGGGCTGAGGAAGGAAAGGCCCGGCAGCTCCTGTGCAGTAGCCCAGGCCCACCGCAGCGTCAGTCGTGGCTCTGAGGTGCGGGCGTGCAGGGCACCACTCAGCCCCAGGAGGAAGAGGACCCTAAAGTCAGAGTGCAAACCCTGAAAACGGGCGGCATGAAATCAAGCGGACACGCAGGACACATCCCACAAGATTCTGCTTACACAAGGGCCCTGGAGCAGGCGGAAACTAGGGTGCGGTCACAGAGGCTGGCGGGGAATGGGGCAGTGTCAGTCTGGGGTGGGGACAGCACCTGCAGGATGTTGCCGAGCTGCACACTCGTGACGGTTAAAAGGTAAAGTCCACGTGATATACGAGACCAAAATTGTGTTTAAATGAAAAATAAACAACCAGTGAGGGCAGAGAAGAGCAGAGGAAAGGGGCCTGAGGAGGAAGGGCAGCAGAGGGCGGGCTGGGCGGCTCGGCACTGCGCAGAGACCAGTGGCGGCGTGTGCACGTGACGAGCGTGGGCGCCACGGCGTTTGTGCTGTGTGTCAGTAAGCAAAATTTTAAAACTGCCTGTATTTAGATGTGACAGCAATAAACTGGGAATGAGGTTAAGCATCAAAAACATTAAATATTTGGGATTAATTTAAGGAAGGAAGGGCAAGAATCATACACTGAAAACTGGAGGCGTTGAGCAGAGTGAGGGCACACAGGTGGAGAGGTGCTCTGAGCTTGCAAGCTGGGGCTTTCGGGGCTAGGGTGGCGCACCCTGCAAACTGGTCTCACCCCGCACAGTTTCCACAAAGATGTCAACTACCTGTTTGTCCCTCATGGACACTGACAAGCCGATCCTAAAATTCACATGCAACACAAGGAACCCAGAGTTACTCTTCTTGAAAAACAAACAAAAAACAAGTTGGAGGACTCACAACACTTGTGCAGCCTGGGCTACCTGGGGCTAGGTGGGGAGTCCAAGGCTGGCCTGGACGACACAGCAGGACACTGCCTGTCATGGCTGTGTCCAGGGCGCCCCCCAGGCCTCATCAGTCATACGTGGGGCTTTTTCTGTGGTGGCTGAATCTAGTATGTGACTGATTCCTGCTGCAATGCTAGGCCCAAAGGAACTAGGATTAATTAAGGGTGTGAGTGCTACCCCAAGTAGTCTGAATACAACAAAGGGGGCAGAAAGATGCTGTTAAGGTTGCTTGTTGCTTTGCTACCTTCGGTCTGCCATGAACTGTTGCCCCTCTGCCACGTGGTCCCCTGCCTTGGAGCCAGCCGATTATGGACTCTGCAAACTGTGAGCTAAATAAACCTTTTCTGCTTTAACTTTGGGTGTCAGGTATTTTGTCTCAGCAATGAGAGAAAAGTAACTAAGACACTGTCTCAAATAAAACCTCCCCCAAACAAAAACAAGAGCAAGCAATAGAAAAGTGTGTTTTCCTTACAATGGCCTGGGAAACTCATAATCAGGGAATAGCTCATACTCTAGATGGCCAGCAACAGTGGGGTGGATCGGTAAGTTAAGTCTCATCCACATCCTGTGGAGGGATAGCTAACAAGCCTGAAAATGTTAAACCATGAAATGAAAGTGCCAGGAGTTTAAACATGAGAGCCATCATATGCACATAGAGTGTAACAGACTCAAATATAGATGGAGAGCATCCACACTTAGGTTTACTGAACAGTAGGACTGCAGGTAAATTACTGCTTTCCAAAGTCTCCCCTATAATCCAGAATCACTTCTACAATGAGAATACAGCCACTGCTGTCCAGGGAGCGAGGACAGCCCTGCTGTCAGCAAGAGGCACCCTCATCCCTGTGGTAGAGAGTCGTGTCCGCTCAGACTTCCCCTGATGGACACGTGGCCACTGTGGATGGCGAGGGGAGGAGTCGGGGAGGAGCCTGCCTTTAGTGGCCGAGTTCGGCACAGTGAGACCCCAGGTGGCTGGTTGAGCACCGAAGACATGGGGCTGCTGACTGCTGTCTCCAGCCCGGGAGTACTTCCCTTTCCCGTGAAGAACCTCTCCTGCTGCCCTACACCGGCAGCTCAAGCCCTGACAGAATGGTAGGAGCCGGAGGGACAGTGAAGCAAAGGGGCCCCTAAAAGAGCCGCGTCACAGACAGGTCACAGACAGGGGACAGGGAGCTGGCTGAGCCAGGAACCTTTCCCACCACCCTCTCTTCTGAAGGACTCAAACTCCCCAACCCCGCCCTGGCTTTGCACTGCCATGAAAAGGCCTGGGAGGGAGAGAAACTCAGTGCAGTTCTCAGCAGTCACATCGACACCACAGGTTCTGGCCCGTGTCTTCAGGAATGGCCACGTGTAGGCCATGGCACGGCTGCGAGCTTGCCAAAGGGCTTCTCTCAAGTGGCACTCATGGGAAAAGCATCCGATTTCATTTGCAGAGCAGTGAGGGGAGCTGCAACATGCTGGGACGCTGAACGTAGCTGCGTCAGCAGCGGATGGGGTCTTACTGAGCTTTAATTTTCAGTTCTAAACCCTTCTTAAGCCCCAGTGAATTGGTGCAGTAAAGAATTTAGCAAGCGAGTTTCTAGACAGAAAAAAGGCATTCATAGCCTGCAGTCTGTGCATTCATAGCCTGAGTCCGTGGAAGAAAAAAGAACGCCAATGTGGGGAAAATATCAGCACCACAGGTGTTCTGCTTATAAAATCAGAGAAATTCATCTGTGAACCCTTGGCCCACTTTGAAAAGCCCTGATTAGCAGTAAAGCAGGGAGCAATAAGAGGGACCAGGGCCTCCAAAAGCAGTGCTGAAGTGCACTTGGATGCAGGAAAGCGTGGACATTTGCACAGCTACATAGCATCCTAGTGAGCCACCTTGGGCCTGATGCAGACACTAGCCTATCTATCTGTTACCCACCTACCCATCCATCCAGCCACCATCCTCCTGTCCTAGACACATGGACTAAGCAACAGCTACAAGCTGGGAATTGCACAGCTCAGTCCTTCAAAGCTCAGCATTTGACAGCAGAGATAAACATGCAAAGTTAACTATCATACCGTGTGGAAAGTATAACACAGCCAGGAGTGGCAGCACATGCCTACAATTCCAATTACTTAGGAGGCTGGGGCAGGAGGGTAAGTTTGAGGCCAACTCAGAAAACCTAGCCATATCGTGTCCCAAAAAAAGAAAAATAAAAAGGACTGGGGATGTAGCTCAGCGGTAAAGCACCTTGACTTTGATCCCCAGTACTGGACAAACAGAAAAGAAAGTGTAGTGGAAGAGCCACAAAGAGGGTGTCATCGTAGGAGGTGAGCAGGGGGCCTCCTCCCTCAGGGTGGAGAGGAGCATGGAGTGTCAGGGGGCTTCCTGGTGGGGGCAGCATGGGGACAGCATGGAGCAGCCTCCCAGACTCTGGAGCCCAGGCTGGTGATGGGGAAGGGACAGACACAGCCCATGCGGGGGTGAGGACCCAGTGCCCACGTGCTGGGCCCATCACCGAGAGGACACAGGTACGTGGGATGGAATCCTCCCCCATGG